ATCCATTGTATAAAATTACCTAATTAATTGTCATGTTTAATGACATAATTAACTGCATTACCATAATTCGTCATGTTGATTAATACATTTCACTCAGGTTTTAATTTACACATTCACAATCAAATTAATCTACAATTCAATCATGGGCTTTAAGGTGCCACAAAGGTAGCATCAACCCAGTATATGCAAAACCTTACAGTATTTCTAGGGGCAAAAAAATCAACTTAGCGATGGCTATCTCACTAGCAATATATCTACATCGTGGTGACAATCATCTCTCTCACAAGATATCTAGGTGGCAAGGATAATCTCCTCTCTCACAAGAGATCTACTTGGCAATCACAATCTCCTTTTTCACAAGAGTGCAGTGCCCATCATCTCTTTCATTACACTATAAATATTCTGACTAACATGCATGCCAGCTGGTTCGGCAGACATGTTTAAATTTCCTTCCAGGCAGGGTATCTTCCATTGACTTGAGCTTCCTGAAATAGGCATTGGAGACTTACAAGACCAGGCACCTGAAGAAAAACACAGGTTTAAGAGACAGGTTTCCTGTGTGGGTTCTGGGAAAATGAAAATCAAGAATAGACCCACTGCCTGCCCAAAAGCAAGTCATAAGAATTGACTAATTGGGAGCTTCCTTCAAAGTCAGAGTATATCTGCCTGAGAGGCAAGGAACCAACAACCTGCGTGCAAATAAGTCAGACCTGTGAAACAGATGTATATGCAACACTCAGTTTCTGGAATAGGACTAGAGTCCAGAAGTGGGCAAACAACCAGAACTTTCTGCCTGAGTTTACAGCCGGTGACCGCGAAGATAAAGAAGAAGAAAAGACAGGTAACCAACTAGTAGTACCCCAATCAGCCATTTGGCAATAAAGCCTCAGACTAAGGATCCCCCTGCTCCCTTCCCAAATCTCAAGACCCACCTGCATCCAATGCGTGATGGTTATCTGCAATAAAGACCGTACCCTAACTACTTGACCTGTTACTTTCAGATGAGGTATCTGAGAAAGGTGGTCAAAGTGACAAGAAGGGACAAAGTTCACAATCAGACAATATGTCGTGACCCTGATACCCTTGACACTACTAACTCAAGTGCATCAGTCATAGTTACGATGGTCTGGACATGTATGCCGGACAACACAGGGTTCATTGGAAATACTCAAATACAACATCCTTCTTCTTCTTCTTCTTCTTCGTTCACCGGCTGTGAATTCCGGCGAAAGGTCAGGGTTAATCGTCCGCTTGGACTTTTGGCTTTTACCTGGACCTGAGTTTTCCGTGTACAACCGTTTTGTTGTTCCCTGCCTCATGGGCAGCAGTACTCCGACTTCGAGGGAAGACGTCAGGCCTATTTCTAGGATGACAGTGGCCATTGTTTTGTGTGGGTCGAAACGTTGCCTGATTTTTGTGGTGTCCACTTTGTCTCCTTCTCCGCAGGTATGCCCCCGGAGTACCCCTTTGGGGCAGTCCCCTGCGGAACTGTTGGCTCTCAAGGGAAGGCAGGGGCAGATCATGGGCATTCCCCGCCATCCAAGGAGGCTTCCATGTATGCAGAGCCGGCACATGGCGCTCTGGTTCTGGGCTCACCCAAGGAATCGTCACGTCCTGCACATGCCTGCTTAACCTCACAACTGTATCAGGCCTCCCGCTTGACAAGGGTTGCGCCCTCTGGAAGCCAGCGGGGAGCAGCCCACGAATTCTGGAGACTTTTGTGACCACCCAAATAGGTACATTCTTTTTCTTCGCACGTTAGGTATCTTTGACGAGCCGTTAGCCTGACAAAATTCAACATCCTGCGTCAGGCATATCGTTATCTGTTTGGTCCCAGCACTCGGGCGAGTGGGGTCTTTGGGTGTGGACATTTGGACTTTTTCCGTTCAATAAGATTTGTGATGGTCAGATTTTGAGCTTACTCGTGTCTCGTAGGTTCTAGTTTTGTTGGACATTTAGGCTTGGCCAGCCGATGGATGGTTGCTGTCTTGGTGTGCCTCAGCGCGGTAACGACGACACTGAGGGTTAACAGGGGATGTACATGGGTAGAATCTTGCTGCGAGACGTCACCCGCAGGAGATGTTACTCGTCTGTGCTGCGGGTAAATCTCTAGGTCAAGGGTTGAGTCTCAGCAGAACAATGTTCTCTTCACTCCTCAATCTTTTAACCGAGGGTTGTAATTTTAGTTGTACATTCGGCAAGCACTTTACTCATGTTCCTAATGAGTTTTGATAACCTTTTTCACCCATGCGTTTGGGGGCGGGCTGATGAGAGCCACAAGGACACATCACCTCTGGGGGCCGCCAAACTCAAAGATCCCCTGACAGCTCTGTTAATGCTCGAGACATTTTCCGTGGCGCACGACGAGGACGTGCTGCAGGGGTCTTGCGTGAGGTTCCGTACAACCAGAACAGTGAAGGACTGGCGCCCGAGTGACGTACGGAGTATCTCCTTATACACATCATGTTGGACTTAACTTTCCCTCACGCCTGTGACATAAATCACTGCGCTACAATATAACATTCAGCAATCCATGACTGACAGAGGACTTAAATGAAACAAAGCTAAAAATAAAACTACTGTTAGAAAATCTGGCAATCTCTGGCAAACCTCTGCACCCCAAGGTAGAAGAGGAGCTACTAAGTACTCAGTAAGTAAGAAAAGACAGTACCCTGACTACTTGACCAGTTAATCTCACATGCTCCTACTTTTTTAAAATGTACCTACCTTTCCCACTATTCAAAAGCCTGGAAACAGAAACAGCGATTGGCTGAAATGTGGCCTCTTCAGCTGTCTCATCTGACAGAATGTTAAGAAGAGTCGCGATGGCCATGACACCTTCGAACTGTTTGGTCAGCCACTCCCAGGCTTCCGTGTCCACTGTTAGAGACTCCCACTCCTGGCTGTCCATACTCACGTCTGCTGGGTTTGCTGCGTCTGCACTGTCATTCTCATCTGATTTTGTACTGGCAGTGTCTGCATCTGGATCCTAAGACAACATAACTTGAATCATTGAAATAACATTTTTTTTTCTTCTCTGCACTTACTGGCTATAAACTCTGATGGAAAGTTCTGACTGTTCGTCCATCTATGGACTTTAGTCTTGTTCCAGAACACATTAATTTTATAGATCTGACTTATTTGTAGGCAGACTGTGGGTCTCTTGCCTCTCGGGCGGTTGCACTCCGAATGAAGTCACCGATTAGTCAACTCTCATGACATTCTTGTTGGGGAGGCAGTGGGTCTATTCTTGTTCTCCCCATAATGGGACCCTGGAACCCACACAGAGAGAAACAACATAAAAATCGAAATCACTGATACAACATAAAAAACTTGAATAATCAAAACTACATAAAAACCTGAATCGTGAAAATTGCATATAAATCTGAATATATTATTTACATAAATTCACAACAGGAAAATTTTGTTTTGAACCATATATACTTTTTTTAAATATAATAGTACAAATCCTTTCATGTGTAACAGGAACCATAAGGTAAGCAAAAAACATTAACACAATAACCTACGACGCATGCTGTACGAGATGCTCAACACTCAGGGACAAGCAAGACGGACATACAGTCAGACTGCTACTAGTACTTTTCGAAATGGAACTCTGCATTGGCTTCTGAAGATGGGGATTGACCGCTTATTGGAATGTCCTTAGTTATGAATTATAAATTGGGTTACCTTCATGGCACTCCGGACATGTCCATAGGTGCTCAGACTCCTCCCCTCCCCTTTTTTTTCTACATTAACATCAACATCTCATGGTTTATATTTCCAGTCCAATGCTGGTGGTTAATAAGATTTCTTATACGTCCGGTGCGCCTCTAGTACCTGGCTATGCTGATCTTTACTCCCAATTCTTGGATTCTTAGCAGTGATATGGACAAACTGGTCCCAAAATCCTCCAATCGCCCTATCTCTCTATGGGCATTAACAATGTTGCGTGATCCAACAGCCATCTGCCACTAAGTCAGTTCTGGTCAATCTATCAGTTCTTTCACGGCCACTATACTCAAGTGCTAGCATGTTGATTCTAAACTCAACTCAACTTATGCATGTTGTAGAGGTGACAGGAGGGTTGGTGTAAGACTTGTGAGTTTTTCCTGCAGAATACTTTAGCCACAAAATCTAGCTAATCATAAACAAGTCACCAAAGGGCACAGTTAGAGAATCCATCAGTTCTTTAATTTTCATTATAACCTGCTGAAGGTTAAAGTCGAAAGAATCAGCTTCATTACACCAGGTTTTATCCCATATAGCTCTCTCTCTCTCCACAGAACAGCCAACCACCTGACGAGAGAATCCCACAAAGCATGATCCAGTATGATCCCCTGGAGTCCCCACAAAAACTGCAAGTGAACCAAACCATGCAACCATGCAATGAACCCGTGACTTTTAGAGTGTGAGACAAATGGCTTGGACACAGTGACCCTCTAATGCCTGCCTGAGCTGGAACAAAGTGGAGGGGCATTTCAAAAATAGCTAATCCCCACAATGAGTTACCATCTACTGTTGTCATTCTACTTGAGGTCTCTATCACTACCTCTGTCCACATTCCCTGTCCCCCAAAAATTAGGATTACTTACTGAGAATCAAAAAACAGATTCAAGCCATGTATTCTTATTCTTCGCGTTTAGCTGCTGTAAACTCCGGCGGAAAGTTCTGGTTGTTCGACCACCTCTGGACTTTGATCTTGTTCCAGGATCTGAGTTTTGTGTGTAAATCTATTTTACCTATCTGACATCTGTATACAGACTGTTGGTTCCTTACCTCTCAGGCAGATGCACTCTGACTTCAAAGGAAGCTCCCTATTAGTCGACTCTTACGACAAGCTTGTTTGGGGAGGCCATGGGTTTATTCTGGTTTTCCCCAAAAGGGGGCCCCAGAACCCACACATGAATTGACCTAGGGTCTATACTCTACTGAGAGAGTCAAGGCAGAAGATAAAGATACAAACTATTACCAGCAAAACAAAGAAACACAACACTGACCTTAGCTTTTGGCCGGATGCCTAAAGTGTTAGATGCTATTGATTTACATGCAAGCACGGCCAGGAAGGCTGCCCGGCAGTTTTCTGACTGACTACACAGACTTCTGACCTGTTGCCACCAAGCAGAGCTTAGATTCGGGTCCACAACAACCTCACTGACATCTGCAATCAAAAGGTTTAGATTTAAAGTCAAGAAAATCAACTTCATAGCATCAGGTTTTACCCCAAACGGCTCAGTCTTCATGGGTCTTCATGGTGAAATGGTCAAGCCATTTGCTTTGTGCTCTGAAAGTCATGGGTTCGCTTTATAGCAGTGCCGTTCAGTTTACGACTGCAGTTTTTAAAGAGATCTCAGGGGATCATCGCCAGAGCTATGGAATTTGTGCTTTGTTCAATACTCTCAGCAGGCGGCTAGCCGTTCTGCTGAGAGAGATCAAGCATATAGGATAAAACCTAGTGCAATGAAGTCGATCCTCTAACTGTTAACTTTTTAGCTCAGTCTCTCTCACAAAAACAGCTAGTGTCCCGCTGAAAGTGTAGCACACAACAAAAACTCTACAGCTCCAGTGACAATCCCTACAGACCTCCATACAAATTTCACTCATGAACTTCAATATGCAGTCCATGAAACAAACCTGTGGCATCTAGAGCATGAGACAAGCAGTTTAATCACTTCATGAAAAGACATCAAATCAAATTAAAAGTAGAAATGGTGTGCTTCACATTAACACAAACACTAACAACAAGTGAACTGGACAGCCTTCATCAGTCCATTACATGAATATTCGTTCATACATTCATCATCCTGTAGTGCCATCACATGTCATATAGGGCTTGCAGTCAATTCCTCCATTCCATTCTTTCCTGGGCAATCAGTTCAATATCATGGATGGAATCCAGTCCAGTAGCTTTGGCCTCTCTCATCAAGGTTCATCTTAGGGTTTCTTTTTTGGAGTCCTTGCCTCCTTAATCCCTTTATTTCCCATGTTAATGCCTGTTTAGTGATTCTCTGCCAGTTTCTTCTCAGGATGTGTTCAATATCCAGTACACACAAATTTACATCTAGAATCTACAGAACATCCTGTACCCAGAGAACATTCAGTATCCACTGAACTAAAATCCAGTATCCACAGAATACCCAGTGTCCACTGAACTAACAATCAGTATCCAAAGAACCCCCAGTATCCACTGAACTAACATTCAGTATCCAAAGAACACCCAGTATCCACTGAACTAACATTCAGTATCCAAAGTACACCCAGTATCCACTGAACTAACATTCAGTATCCAAAGAACACACAGTATCCACTGAACTAACATTCAGTATTCAAAGAACACCCAGTATCCACTGAACTAACATTCAGTATTCAAAGAACACCCAGTATCCACTAAACTAAAATCCAGTATCCAAAGAACACCCAGTATCCACTAAACTAACATTCAGTATTCAAAGAACACCCAGTATCCACTGAACTAACATTCAGTATTCAAAGAACACCCAGTATCCACTAAACTAAAATCCAGTATCCAAAGAACACACAGTATCCACTAAACTAACATTCAGTATTCAAAGAACACCCAGTATCCATTGAACTAACATTCAGTATTCAAAGAACACCCAGTATCCACTAAACTAAAATCCAGTATCCAAATAACACCCAGTATCCACTGAACTAACATCCAGTATTCAAAGAACACCTAGTATCCACTGAACTAACATTCAGTATTCAAAGAACACACAGTATCCACTAAACTAAAATCCAGTATCTAAAGAACACCCAGTATCCACTAAACTAAAATCCAGTATCTAAAGAACACCCAGTATCCACTGAACTAACATTCAGTATTCAAAGAACACCCAGTATCCATTGAACTAACATTCAGTATCCAAAGAACACCCAGTATCCACTGAACTAACATTCAGTATCCAAAGAGCAAACAGTATTTACTGAACTAACATTCAGTATCCAAAGAACACCCATGATTACATACGGGAGGTGTAAGTAACACTGCTCACCTGCAAGTGCTGTAATACTCTTGACCAGTTCATACAAGTTGGCCAGCATGCTGACACTTCGATCATTCACAGACAGCCAGTGAAACAAGAGAAGGTTCTGAAAGAGACAGGAGGGAGATAAATACGCTTTACTTCCCGTGACTTTTTACCTGCACATATTTTAAAGCTGGGTTAACTTGGGAGCCAAAGTCATTTTTGAAAAATAAATCTGGTTCCCTCTGGATTCGAACCCACAACCTTCTGATCAGCAAGTGAGCGTCTAGTCGCTTCCCTATGGCCGCTCCCACACAAATAATATTAAATGAGAAAAATCACAAATCAAATGGTTTAATGTTATACTGTGCATCTCAAAATGAAACCATTAACATATCTGATGATATATAGACATTTTTCCCAAGTGTTGTTTTTGAGCGTGAATACCTGCTTAAATCTGATAAATGGCACAGGAAGTGTTAACTTGAATCTACTCCTTGCTGATCAGAAACATAAACTTTAATTTAAGCCTTGCTGTCTTCAGACTGCTCCTGTAATTGTCACCTTTGTTTTCTTTTTTGTGTGTGATTTTTTCTTCTTCAAGATAGTGTTAGCTTTTCCTAATTTGTCAAAAAAACAAAATAGCTATAAGTGTAGCTGGAGAAACATCCAACTGGTTCGAGGTGCAAAAGAGAGTGAGGCAGGAGTGCATTATCTCACCATACCTATTCAATATAAAGGCAGAAATAATAACGAGAAATGTAAAAAAAAAAAAAAAAAGGAGCAGACTTGTGACAGTTATTATCAGCTATAGTTGATGACAATCATGTTCTGAAACTTTGCTATGCAGATGACACAGTCCTCCTTTTGAACAATGTAAAGGGAAAAAAACATTAAATTTTGCCTGATTGAAAACATAGTGAAGATCAAAACCTGTTTCCAAATTTTAGAAAACAAAAATAATATCACCCAAAAATAACAACAAATGATGAAGAAATTGAAAATGTCACAAGCTTTGAATATCTAGGCTCCATAATAAACAACAGCAATGGACACTGGTCAAAGGAAGTCAAAAGGAGGATGGCCACAGCAAGATTAAATAGCACTAAAAGTCTATAAATTAAGCATTGGCAAGCAAATGACGGTCACAATATTTAGGGTATGTATCTTCCCTATAGTGACATACAGATGTGTCATGGACTATCTTGCAGTTCTTGGAGTCACTAGGAAAGAAAAATGGGTCTTCTGTACTTAAATGCCACAGAAACATTCTCAGAATACCTTTGACCAAGAGGAAAAGAATGTTGACATTCTAAAAGATCTGAACATCAAGGAAGACAGGCTGGTAAACAGCATCTTGTCTCGGAATAAGGTATAAGTGGCACCCTGGTCAGGAAAGTGCATGAGGTGAGAGATCTGGCAAGAGACCGAGTTTCTTTCAGGCAGGGTGTGACGAGTGCACTTTTCTGCAAAGGGGTTGTTTCTTCTCTTCCACCATTAACCTGAGTGAGATGTGGGGGAAGATGTAAGGATCGTTTGTGCACTTCTTCCAATGCAATGTACAATGTGTTCATTTCTGTTAGGCTGCTCCTGATGTTGTCATTCCATCTCTTACATGGTCTTCTTTCCCTTGCTCTGCGTTCATTATATTACTTCAGCGTGGCTCTCTGTGGCAGTTGGTACCAGGGCATGCTCGACAAGTGGCCAAACCATCTTATTTGTTGTTCTTTAAGGAATTGTATGACTTGTTTCAGTCCTAGACCTTCTAATTTCTTCATTCTTGATTTTATCTCTTCTCCTCATACCGGCAGCTCTCCCAAGACACCTCATCTCTGTTGTTACGATCTTCCACTTATCAGTTGTAGTAAGGGTCCATGTTTGGTACTGGTGACACAAAGGGGCCGCTACAAGATGATAACAACAACAACAACAACAACAACAAATGTATTGATATTATACTCTGTTAAAAGCTTTTGATTAATCTTCACAATATAAACATAGGTATTTTTTCTTGTTATCATGAGCACTAATAAAATAAAAATTGTATTCCTTCTTTCTTTCTTTTGTCCATTTTCTGCTATGTGCCGCTAGGCCCCACAGGTTAACAGATGATTTGTTTCCGAGTTTTGGGCACGCTTGGTTGCCTAGTATGCTGCCATGTGGAGTGTGAAGGTATCACTGACTCCTTCAATCCATCTTCTTCTTGGTTATCCCCCACCTCTTAGTGTTTCTACTTTCTTGTTGTATGCTCTCACTGCTGGCATCATTGGATTCATTCTCACTAAATGGCCAAGCCATTTCAGTCTTTGTTTTTTAATGAATTAAATTTATAGGTATTGTTGCAAAGTAATTTCTTTGTTTCTCACATGATCTCTTTTATTTTTGTTTTTGGCCTTTCTCAGTCATCTTATTTTGCAGGTGGTTAGTTTTCTTTTGTACTGTATTCCTAATTTCTTTATTCACAACAAACAAAAACTAAGTATCTGAAATTTCTTTTAGTTTATTTCTTAGTCATTTTATTTCATGAAAAGAAGTTTGGTAATGTCACTCATTAGATCAGAGCTATTCAATAGCTATTCACAACTTCTCAAGTAGCTATTTAACTAAATTCAACAACTATTTGCTCCACTCAGGGGCAAACATTTCAAAATGGGTATCTATCTTCACAGGCAAGAGGCCTGAGCCCCAGCACAGAAGGAATATTAATACAATGGCAGTGATCTACGGGCCATTTGCTGGGCCTCCGCGGGCCAGATCTGGACTGCGGACTGCAGGCTGATTAGTTCTGATTATATTGTTCTGTGATTTACATTTCACTGTTACTGATATAATGTCATACCTGTGACAGGTATGAATGTTTATTTTTGTAAACAATAGACAACAAAATGAAAGTCACCATGAGTTGTGCTGGAGGAAGATGGCTGCTTTGAATCACAGACATAAGCTCCTGGGCTTGGCAACAGTTATTGAAACAGCCACCAAAGAGAAAATCAGCTGAAATAAAATTTTAGACAAAGTACATTAATAAAGTAAAAGGTAATTACCAGGGGTACAGGGCCCATTTCTTTAGCACAGCAGTTCTCAATCTGGGGGGTCACGACCCTTTTATGGATCAGAGGTCGCTAAAGACCATTGGAATATCCATATTCACTGAAGTTATGAAGTAGCAACAAAAATAACTATGGTTGGGGGTTGCCACAACATGAGGAACTGTATTAAAGGGTCGCCACAACATGAGGAACTGTATTAAAGGGTTGCCACAAAATGAGGAACTGTATTAAAGGGTCGCCACAACATGAGGAACTATATTATAGGGTCGCCACAACATGAGGAACTGTATTAAAGGGTCGCCACAACATGAGGAACTGTATTATAGGGTCGCCACAACATGAGGAACTGTATTAAAGGGTCGCCACAACATGAGGAACTATATTAAAGGGTCGCCACAACATGAGGAACTGTATTAAAGGGTCGCAACAACATGAGGAACTGTATTAAAGGGTCGCCACAACATGAGGAACTGGATTAAAGGGTTGCCACAACATGAGGGAACTGTATTAAAGGGTCGCCACAACATGAGGAACTGTATTAAAGGGTCGCCACAACGTGAGAAACTGTATTAAAGGATCGCCACAACATGAGGAACTGTATTAAAGGATCACCACAATATGAGGAACTGTATTAAAGGGTCGCCACAATATGAGGAACTGTATTAAAGGGTCGCCACAACATGAGGAACTGTATTAAAGGGTCGCCACAACGTGAGGAACTGTATTAAAGGGTTGCCACAATATGAGGAACTGTATTAAAGCGTTGCCACATTATGAGGAACTGTATTAAAGGGTCGCCACAATATGAGGAACTGTATTAAAGGGTCGCCACAACATGAGGAACTGTATTAAAGGGTCGCCACAACATGAGGAACTGTATTAAAGGGTTGCGGCATCAGGAAGGTTGAGAACCACTGCTTTAGTAAGACTTTTTGCAATCCCAATCAGTATAAAGAAACATTTCATATCAAGCATATTCATTCCTACCCTATCTGTATTTAAAAAAAACAATGAGATTACCGTCTTGTTATCAGGATCCATGTCGCAGAAACTCCTTGCCCTAGTGAGCAGAACAAGCCAGGGGCTTCTGGTCTTTAGAATAAATCCCTATTTACCAAATTGAATGGCCCCTTTACCTTCTTGAAACTCTCTGGGGGAGGCTGGAGATCGAAGCCAGCTTACTGTGTTGATAAGAAAGAAACTAACAGCTACGTCCCTGAGGTTCACATTCAATAACTTACTATTTAAAATTATTCATAACATACTCTTCATCACTAGTTACTGACCATGGATAGAGCATGCACTGAAGAAAAACTGGTAGTATATCTTCTTTTTATTCTTAGTATTCATCGGCTGTACACTAGGGCGAAGAGTTCTGGTTGTTCGTCTACTTCTGGACTTTAGTCTTTTTCCAGAATTTGAGTTTTGCGTGCACAACTATTTTACAGTTCTGGCTTATTTATAAGCAGACTGTTGTTTCGTCGCATCTCAGACAGATGCACTACAACTTCGAAGAGAACACCCCTTCCTCCATAACCATGCCACAAATCCTAAATGGGAATAACAGCACATCAAGAAAGGCCTTTCTCTGGAACCCACAGGGTCAAAGAAATAGGGGAGGACCTAAAACACATGGCGAAGAGAACTGAAAACAAAGTGAGTAACATGGGAATGGCATGAAGGGAGCTGCAGGATCTAGTAAAAACAGGATAATTTTGTGCAAGCCTAAAGGTTAGTCGAGAGGATGGCCTTCAATGCACTGGGTTTTATTCTATATGGCTCAGTCTCTCTCCGCAGAACAGCTAGCTGCCTGCCAAGAGTGTCAAACAAAGTTCAAATACTGTTGATCCTGTAACGATCCCTATAAAAATTGCACTTGTTGAGGGCTATGCCCCAAGAGGCGATATAAAGTACACAAGAAAAAACAGAAGCAGCTACTGACCCAAAGCAAGTCTACGTTCTTCTGTCACCTCCTTGCTGATAGTTATCTGTGTCTGTTTGGAAGGTGTTGAGGCTGCGGCATCATCCTCATTTGACAGCAAAGTTCTGTACGAGAAGGCATGAAGAAAGGATGTGGCCGCAAGTGGTCCTGAAGCATCTTTAAAGGTCACCTTCGAAGCCTGTTTGGCAGGGCAGCTGGTTGAGGTCAGCAGATCTTGTTGTCTCAATAAATTCAGAGCGGCTGTCGTTTCATGCAGTGGCAGACCCAGGACCTCTGTCAAAACCTGGTTCAGGAAAAAGATAAATAGCTTTCAAAATGTATGGTGTATTCATTACAGAGTGTCTTGCATACACAGGACAAAATAAATACAGCACTGACTCCATTACAAGTGTAATTCAATATAATATTGAGTCACTGTGAAACTCCCTTGTGTTTGCAGTGTGACCTTCATCTTTGTCCCAGGGTATGCTGGCAATGAAAGAGTTGATAGACTGGCCGGCTCTGCTCTAGTTGCTTATGGCCAGCCCACGGATCGTGATGACACTGTTAATGTCTTTAGAGAGGCAGGACGATCTTAGGATTTGAGAAGCTGCCTGTCCACATCACTGCTAAGAATATGAGTAAAGATGGGCACAGACAAGCATGAGAGGCAGAAGGCTGATGTATATGTTGAATTAGGAATAAGACACACCCACAGACACACACAGGCAGACACATATACACATATACCCACAGAGATACAGACACACACACACATGCAGACACATACACAAACACACACAGACGCACACAGATACAGACACACAAACACAACCAACAGGCACACATGCAGACGCACACACGCAGACAAACACATCCGCAGACACACCCACAGAAATGTAAGACAAACCTGCACATCAGACAGTTTGGTGGCCTCGGGCTGTGCCTGGTTGAGCTGGCTCACTGTGTCATAAAGGGTCAGAAGGGATCGCTGGGTCTTGCAGAATCTCAGCATCATTTTACTGTCAAGGTCAAGGCTGTCTCCAGCTGCAGACGAAATAGTCTTTCTTCATGACCCACATACATAATTAATATAATAAGTGAATAAAACAGAAATAAGGAAGTCCTTGAAAAAAAAATAATAAAGGAATAAAAATTAGATATCTGTCATTGCCAGTCCCAAGCCAGGATAAGAAAGGAGGAGGGCTGGGTATGGACCAGCTCTCCCACCCTGTAAAAACATATCTGCTGCAGAAACTTGCAGGAAAGAATACCATTCTGCGAGAAGCCAGAGGTGAGGGACTGGATCTCTCTCATGATACTGAAGTGATAGCACAGGATAGTATGGGACGGAGAAATAGACTGTGAGCTCTATGTGACATATAAAGGCACAACAGGATAATGAATTAATGAATGAATTAATTAATTAAAAAGATTAGATCAAGACAATAAATCTACTGGAAATGTTAATAGGATGAGGAGTGGAAGAAAAAAAATCAGATGACATAAAACCTTTGAAACTTATCTTACTGAAATAATAAGCATCTGCACCGCACAACATTTGCCAAGGAAGAAATAGCATTTGCGGGTTTATCATGATTTATAGTTAAAAATTCTTCATTAACCCTAACTTTTAAATATACCAATGGACAGATAGCATATTGATTTTGGCAGGATAGTCTGGCAGACGGTACAACCAAGACTGAAGGCAGACATTGGTGGAGATTTACGGGTTCTGGTAACACCAAGAGATTAGTTGCTTTGCTCAACTCTTTCTACGCTAAACAAGATACCCTACATTCATCAGCTAGCCCAACAGTATACATGTCTTACTCACTTCTACTGTAGATGGTTGTTACAATAACCTGTTAGTAAAGTAAGCAAAGGACCCTTTTCCCCGCCTTTAGGCGTATACAGCATATTGGGCTAGACCTATATTTTTAAAGACCAATCGGCACAAGATGGGTGATGTGGTCAGCATCACGCTGGCCGCCTTTACTTCCGGGACTGCACCTAGTACCCACTCAAAGCTGGGTCGACCTGGGAGCTAAGGTCATTTTTTTTAAATGTCTGGCTCCGCCAGGGAGCGAATCCACAACTTTCTGATCCGCAGTGAGCGTCTAGCCACTCCGCCACGGCGACTCCCTACACTAACCCTGTTGCCAAAAGAAATTTAGTTTTCTGAATTTGATTGATTTTGATGGCATCATGTCTTTGGGCAGTAGCCTATGTGCTTATATAACAGCTCTGGTATTGATTGCAAGTGCATAGTGTGTAGCCTGGGCGATATGATTTTATTTACTACAAAATTTTGAGATCATGTAGGGTGAAAAAAATAATTTCTGGTTTCTTCATTGTGACACCATTTTGCTCTCTATGGCTGTGTCAACAAAACCCCTGTTTTCTTGGTCAAAGGGAAGGAAAGCAGTTGCTTCTTTGCTCTGTATTTAGTGATTACTTCCCTGCATTAAAAAAAAAATTATAGTTCCTGCAAAAAAAAAATAACTAAATATGAAAGATCCATATTTTTAGTGACTTGAGGGCCGCAGCAATGCAGTAATCCCCTGGATTTTTATTACACCTGACCAAGACTTCAGATTTCTTCTGCTTCTTCTTCTGCTTCTTCTTCTGCTTCTTCTTCTGCTTCTTCTTCTGCTTCTTCTTCTGCTTCTTCTTTTGCTTCTTCTTTTGCTTCTTCTTCTGCTTCTTCTTCTGCTTCTTCTTCTGCTTCTTCTCTTCCTCTAGTTTCCTAAGGCAGTTTCAAAGAATTATAACAATGTGTTTCTTCGGAACACAATTTTGAAACAGGTAAATTGTTTTTTTTAAATATAGATTGGTATGGTGCAAAAGGGTTAACTCACCGTTGTCAGTTCACCTTCTTCTGTCCCAGAGTGTTAATATTTAATTTCTTCAGATTGGAACACAAGCTACTTTATATACTTTATACTAGACCTTCTCTGGATATAAAGAGTTAAATTAATTACAAGCTGGTGCGGAACAGGTTAACAGAAAATCTGGACCACATCTTAACTCTTATGATGATATATTATTTAATAGATCAATACTTAAGAAAATAAATCAACAAGCGAAACAAAACCAACCTCATCTTTTATGGAGCAAGAGACCAAAACAATGACTAAACAATTTTCATTCATGATATAAGACAGACATTATTAATTCATTCTTACCTCTGGAATCCAACTTTTTAATGCAGGTTTTTACGACATTTTGCATTAGTTTAACAGGAAGATAGCGAGTGCTGAGGACTCTTTCAATCGCCTTGAAAAAACAAATTACACAGTTGAAAAAGATGACATAAACTCAAATTGTAAAAGTATAATTATGAAAAAAAAATTTGTAGTTTATTAATAATTTATTTAGTCGCTCTTTTGACCTCCAAGAATAAGCTGACATGCTTGACCAGACTTTACTCCCAGGATGTGTAGTCACAGTGGCGTCACTATTAGCCAGGCCTAATCAATATATCAATACAGAATTGACCAAGTAAATTATGTCCATGTTTATTTCTGTTTATATCAGAGCATTATATGAGTTAAGTTGATTCAAGAACCGACATCACAGCACTAGGGGTATTCCCATAGGCACTCCGTCCCCATCCTCAACAGCCAGTGAACAGTTCTGATACTAATGGTGCCAGTAGCATTCTGATTTAACGTCTGTCTTGCCTGAACCTCTAGTCCCTCCCCGCTGCATCAATCTCACCAGACTGTGGTGATCCATCTGCTCCTCAGAACTGTGCACACTCTCCCACAAGGCACCAAGTTGTGCAGAGCAGAGCATTACATGCACATTCATCACTCTTTATTCGGATGTGCACACTCAACTGAGTATTGTGAAGTGCAACTTCTGAGTGCTTTCTACTTATTTAGAGTGAAGAAGACCAGTTCCACAAAAGAATGTTACACATGAAATACCCCACCCATTAATAAACATGTTCTCTAACATTTCTGTTGCTTCACAAATGAGTTCATCTGGGTAAAGGTTCAACATTCCATCATTCAAGACAAACCCATAATAGCTTCATCTCCCTCCTCAACAGACAGTGAGGAGTCTACACACTGAAGGTACCCACTGTTATCTGGTTAACTCCTCTTCTTGCCTTTCCCCTGAGTCTCGTGTGGCGTCCAGAGCCTGCAAACTCTCCCCACTGCAACATTTCCTCCAGCTGCAGGTTTTCAATATCTTCCATTTCGCCTGTTACCTCACCCCACAGGTGAGAGATCACCTCTGTCTTGTGCAGGTGCGGTCCATCCCCCCAGTGAAACCAGTTCAGCCAACCTATCTGCCTGCTCATTTCCACACATGCATGATGGCCCAGGCACAACACCCATGTGACTCTCACCATCTTCGACCTCTGGATTAATGCAACCAATTCCATTCAAAGAAAACCTGACTCTACCCTCCTGAGCATGCTTTGCGAATCCAAAACTATGACAACATGTGGCTGAGATTTTCTCTACCCATTGGAATGCTTCAGTTCTGTTGCTCACTCTGGAAAAATCAACAAGTAAAAGAACACATTACACGATAGGTGAGATCCAATAAGAAGAGCTAATGACTCACTGCACTGCATGAGACACTGTCACAATTTGAGGTGACAGGCTAGATTTGCGCAATGATAGCTATCTATCTATTCTTCATGTCACCGCTGTCATATAAGGCATTGTTTCTCAAACTTTTCTTAGTTGCCGCCCCTTTCTTCAATTCTGTGAAGAGGTTGCGGCCCCTGGGGCACCGCGGCGCACAGTTTGGGAATCACTGACATAAGGCATTCATAAGTGCTCTCCGTTGTTGCCAGTCTGTTGCAACTCTGCCTATAGTATCTCATACCAGTTCACACTTGATTTCCTTTTTTGCTGTCCTTTCCTTAGGTCATCCACATCTCCTTTTTCTATCTGTTGCCGACCACAAGCCCTTTCCAAAGTGTCAGGGGCCATTCTACAAACATATCCAATTCATCTCCATCTTCTTATCCACAATGAAATGCTGCTACATCTTGGCCGGTCTGGGAGAGAAGTAGTTCTCAGGCTTATTAATAAAACTTGGAGGTCAAGCAAACTTCCAAGGGCATGGAGGAATGCATATATCGTCCCCATCCTTAAAACCAAAAAGCCTCCAGATGACCCCAAAAGCTACCGCCCGATATCCTTAACATCATGCTTGGGCAAAGTTGCAGAAAGAATGATAAACAGGCGCTTATATTGGTTCCTTGAGAGTTCTGGTGTTCTATGCCATGAACAGGCAGGCTTCAGAACCAACAGCTGCACAGAAGACCAGCTGTTCAGACTGACACAAAGAATACATGATGGCTTCCAGAATAAGAAACACACAGTGGCAGTCTTTGTCGATCTCCAGCAGGCCTATGACAGAGTATGGAGAAAAGGTCTCCTGATGAAGATGATGAGCATAGGAATACATGGCAGATTGTATAACTGGGTGAAATACTTCCTGATAGATAGAACAATCCAGACTAAGATGCACAACGCAATCTCTTCTAAAGAAGTCTTGGAGGAGGGCTTGCCACAAGGCTCATCATTGAGCTGTACACTATTCCTAATCTTTATCAATGACCTGCCAGAACAAATCAAGGCCGAAAAAGCCTTGTACGCTGATGACCTAGCAATATGGCAGAGTCATGAAAATGTGGAAAGTGGAGCCCAAAGACTGAATGGAGACCTTAGAAGACTGCATGATTACTGCCAAAGATGGAAACTCAAGATTAACTGTGCAAAGACGGTCTACACAATCTTTACCAAAAGCCACCAAGTAGCAAGGAAGAATATTAACCTGAGGTTAGACAAACACCAAGTGATGAAAGAAGAGCATCCCACATACCTTGGAGTCACACTTGACCCGCAGCTCAGCCTCAAGAACCATATTGAAAACATCAGGAATAAGGCATTGAGGCGGTTTACAGTTATTAAAGAGACTTGCAGGTACATCATGGGGATCAGACAAGGAAACTCTGAGGGGCTTATACCTAGGATATGTTCGCTCTGTGATAGAGTACAACAACTCACTGCTTACAACTTGTTCCAAAACTAACCTAGAGACTCTTGACAGAGTACAAAATAATGCCCTCCGATTAATCTGCGGAGCTATGCAGTCTACACCAACTGCTGCATGTGAAATCCATACAAATGTGGAACCCCTCGGGTTGCGGAGAGAAAAAGCCACTTTAGAAATTTATGAAAGATGCGTTAGGAAAAATCGTAACCATCCTAATAGACATCTTGTAGAAAACTGGGAACCCAAACAAAGAATAAAGCACAAATCGGTTTTACACTGTGTTAATGAAATTCAGGACAGATACCACCTCCCAGAAAGACGTCAAGGAATTCAGAATGTTGCAAAAAACCTACCACCACATGCTCGCTTTAAAGCTCCAGAAGTCCAAACTAAATTGGTAGGCGAGGAAACCAAACAGTCGACCCAATCGCTCTTATGAACTCATCACTAAAGACCGTTGATTCTTACCCCCAAGAATGGATACATGTCTATACTGATGGATCAGCATTTAAAGCTACCATTAAAGCAGGTTACGGAATCTACATAGGTTATCCCGATGGATCTGTTGAAGAGATTTTTGATGCATGCGGGGAATTCTGTTCAAACTATGAAGCTGAAATAATTGCACTGGAAACAGCAGTATACCACCTAAAGACTGTAATGGATGTTTACCCCTCAAAGGTCTAAAATATTGTCATCTTCACAGATTCAATGTCTGCCCTTCAAGCTCTGGAGGGCAATGAACGCTGCAGAACTGACATAGCCAAGATAATCCTGGATGCCGATCAGCTTATTACCTCATACAACATCAGAATAGTGATGCAGTGGATTCCAGGTCACTCCGGCACACCAGGTAATGACAGAGCTGACAGATTGGCAAAGAAAGGAGCAACACAAGAACAACCACCTACAGCGACAAGCCTCCAGACAGCAAAAACACTGATAAGAGCTATAAACAAAGAGACTTGGTTGAACAGATGGGCCATGGGAGACACTGGAAGAGAGGTTTATAGACATATGTCTGGCCCTGATCCTAATGACAGCATTAACCATCTAACAAGAAGGGACCAGGCCACCATCTTCAGACTTAGAACGCAACATACTCCACTCAATGGACACCTAAACAGAATACAGCCACAACACTCCCCAGATTGCCAGCTATGTAACTACCCCTACGAAACTGTTGAACACCATCTCTTTGAGTGCCCAAAACTCAGCGAGACAGGAAGAACGCTGCTCCCTCCGAGACCAGACAAGTGGAACACCTTGTACGGAGCAAAAGAACAGCTTGTGAAAACATGCAAATTCCACTACATGGCATTGGGCCAAAGGGCGAAAGCTCATGCGCCGCTGGATCAATAACAACAACAACAACCTCCATCTTCTTCTTTTGATAACATCTGCTTCCCATGTTTATGTTGTCTACTATGTCTCTCTATCGCTTCACTTCTTTCTATGGATGTATATTTTCCCGCTGAAAATTGAAATAATGCGGACACAAACAATACACCGCACAATCAACAGCCTGGCATATTTCGTTGTATATTGTTAGATTGTTTACTCCTGTAGATTTGTTTTTGATTTGCTTGGGACTGAAAGAAGACAGCTGGACATTGGACAGCTGGACAGTGGACACCTGTAATACTGACCTGGTGGGCAATGCTTGCCACTTTCATGTCTGAGAGCAACTCAATTATTGTCTCCTCCAGTCCTTCTGTTGAACAAGCACAAAGATTGTTATGCACATGCAACTTAAACACAATCATGGAGCATTATGTGCATGCAACTTAAACACAATCATGGAGCATTATGTGCATGTAACTTAAACACAATCATGGAGCATTATGTGCATGTAACTTAAACACAATCATGGAGCATTATGTGCATGTAACTTAAACACAATCATGGAGCATTATGTGCATGTAACTTAAACACAATCATGGAGCATTATGTGCATGTAACTTAAACACAATCATGGAGCATTATGCACATGCAACTTAAACACAATCATGGAGCATTATGTGCATGTAACTTAAACACAATCATGGAGCATTATGTGCATGTAACTTGAACACAATCATGGAGCATTATGTGCATGTAACTTGAACACAATCATGGAGCATTATGTGCATGTAACTTGAACACAATCATGGAGCATTATGTGCATGTAACTTGAACACATCATAAGGTCTTTGTAACTTGGGGGGGGGAGGGGAACATAATGTGCACATAACTTGCACATAAAGATACAACATAATGTCTATGTAACTTGAGAGGAGAAAAGAACATAATGTACATATAACCTGAACAGAAACATAAAACATAACGTGCATGGTTGTGTGTGTGTGTGTGTGTGTGTGTGTGTGCAAGCAAGTATGTATGTGTGTGCATGAGAGACAGACCAAGATAGACAGAGACAGAGACAGAGACAGACCAAGATAGACAAGAGACAGAGAGAGAAAGCGAGAGAGGATGTGTGAATACGCTGCAGGTGTACGTAGACTCTGGGGCATATAGAGAACATAAGTGAGTAATTATATTTTGTCAACCATCTCAGCTCACTGATATGGATTTCCCACTTTTTCTATTTCATCTTTCATTGTTTCATTTCCAGTACTTCCTGTTTTTGTTGTTGTTTTTACTTCACATCACTACTGTATTACTGCTGTCAAGTTTGAATGTTACATTTCAATTACTTTTTTCTGAACTCCCAAAAATAATTTTGTAAAAACTTTCATTTTTGTATGCACCAGTCTTCCTGTGTGAGTTCTGAGGCCCCATTTTAGGAGAAAACAGAACAATCCAGCTGCCTCCCTAACAAGTATGTCATAAAAAGGCAACCAATTAAGGGTGTTTTCTTCAGATCACAGTGCATCTATTTGAGTGGTGAGGAATTAATTGTCTGCATAAAAATAAACCAGATCTGTTCAACAGATGTGCTTACAAAACTCAAGTTCCTGAACAAGACTAAAGCCCAAAAGTGGATAAACAACCAGGAACTTCCACTGGAGTTTACCACCGGTGAATGCTAAGAAGGAAAAGAAGGGTATGTGCCATTGTTTGTCTTTGGTATCAGCCTTATTGCAGCCCCCACACCCTCCTTCAATGCACACACTTAGCTCCTTGATTTAACAAGATCAGAGCAGGTACATTTCTGTACATAATAATTTTTTTTTAAATATCCAGAAACCATGAGTTGATAACCCTTTGGCGCGGTACTATGGATTTCGCAACCCTTCGGCCTTAATTCCATGATAGATACCGTAAATCTGAGAGAAATGTGGCTTTTCTGCCTACCTCTGGGCGTGAACCCAGACCACAAGGAGCTTGTCACCCGGTCGCCCCGACGTCCAGTTTAGCCAACTGTGCTAGCGAGCCAGGTGTACAAAAAATATAACATGTTTCTCTTGTTTATTCATGGGCCCCATTTTTTTTTGGGGGGGGGGGGGGGAATAGGCCCACTGCTCCTTAACTCTTTGAGTCCCAGGGGGTTTAGCATCACAGGCCCAAGGGGTAGTCAAGAGAGACGTAAAATCGGCACATCTTGCGTTCATTGGGCTTCTAGGTAGGAATCTATGAACGTATGATGCGTTCCTTGGGACTCAAAGAGTTAACAAGCATGCCATAAAAGGCAACTAATGAAAGATCTGCTAAAATCAGATATGGTGAACTGAAAGGTACAGATGTCACAGCCTAGCTGTGAACCACAGCACAATATGCCAACCACAATTTTCAGGATAAACACAGAAGAAGAAATATCTCAGCTCTATGACCCCTAAAATGTCAACAAAAAGCCACATGAACTCCACACACACAGCAGTATGTAGTGCCTGGGAATGGTTTCATCACTGTTACATTGTGAATGTAACAGCGGCTGGCCTGAGGGTGAAGAACAGTGGGCTCTCCTGCAGAAGACCCAGGTTCAAATCCTTAGTAAGTTTGGATTTTGTTCTGTTGGAGGCATAAATAAAATCCTAACCTGCACAGACCGTGGTAACAGCACTAGCCATGCACCAGAAAATCACCAGGCTCAAAGACACCCCCACGCTCACAACGTCTGACTACACCGCAAAAGTGGTAAACAAAACGGTAATGGCAGTTCTACAATATGAATTCAGAAGAAGAGATAACATGAATCCCAGTTAAGACTAACCTCTGTCTTCCGAAGACTCTTTGAGGATATTCTTCAGCTTTTTCAGCAAGTGAAGATCTCTTGCTCGCTTGCTGCTTTTGTCACTGTGAATTATAAATAGGTGTTCTAGTATGATGTGATGTTTGTGCAGAATAGATGGATGAACAAGATTTGACAGAATTAATCATGTGGAGCTCGGGGAGAGAGAGAGAGAGAGAGAGAGAGAGAGAGAGAGAGAGAGAGAGAGAGAGAGAGAGAGAGAGAGAGAGAGAGAGAGAGAGAGAGAACTAGATAGATTTGTGTGTGAACCTGGTGATGAGAAAAAGATGCTGGCACTACAAAAATAGACGCTGAGAAAATGTTAGGAGCATTCTTTCTCTTTGCAATCAGTTTCATATGTTCAAGTTATCAGTTGTGTCGATAGCAAATCTTCAAAGGGTTGCCCCAAAGTTTGTCTTAGTTGCCTCTTCCCACTGGCAGGTTTTGCTGTAGGGGGCAGTTCTGTTATAGTACAGCTAGAAAGTTTTTCCTCTGGAATTGACAGGGCAACACAAAAATTTAGCATGACGCAAAAAGAAAATAAGAGGCTGAGACAATCAATATGGGGAGGCATGGAGGATGCTGCAGTGAGCAAAAGACTAGTTTTACTTTAATATGTGAAATTCTCAATGAGGGACAGAAACCAGATAAAGAGATAGTAATGACATGCAGGTACTTCCCTACAAATAAATAAGAGAACACTTCTCCCCATCCACAGAAATTTCCACAAGTATTTTAAAACATGTGAGCAGATATATTTCTTCACATTCACCAGTTGTTAACTCCAGCAGAAAGTCCTGGATGTTTGTCCACTTCTGGACTTTATAGTCCTGTTCCAGAATTTGAGTTTTGCGTGACCATCCATTTTGCAGATCTGGCACATTTGTGAATAGACTGTTGGTTCCTAGCCTCTTAAGCATATGCACTCAGACTTTGAAGAAAGCACCATATTAGTCGACTTTCACGATATATTTGGTTGGGGAGGGGGGGCACTGGGTCTTTACCCCACCCACACAAAGGGGCCCCGTATGATGTGTTGATCTAATTACATGTATTCCTCAGTGCTAGATGAAATGATGTGTTGATCTAATTATATTTATACCTCAGTGCTAGATGGAATGATGTGTTGATCTAATTATATTTATACCTCAGTGCTAGATGGAATGATGTATTGATCTAATTATATTTATACCTCAGTGCTAGATGGAATGATGTGTTGATCTAATTATATCTGTACCTCAGTGCTAGATGGAATGATGTGTTGATCTAATTATATTTATACCTCAGTGCTAGATGGAATGATGTGTTGATCTAATTATATTTATACCTCAGTGCTAGATGGAATGATGTGTTGATCTAATTATATCTGTACCTCAGTGCTAGATGAAACAATATGTCAATATATATAAAGTTATATTTCTACCTTAGTGCTAGATGAAATGGGATGTCAACTGTTTTAATGACACCATCTGGATCAATAAGCGCACACTGAAAAGCTCGTGACTTAGTCCCCCGGCACGTCACATTGTTCAAGCCCATCATGCCATAACATGGACACAGCAGACGGCAATACTTGCTCACGTTGAAAGCGGCAACTCTGGGACCATGAGCGGACAACCACACCTACACAAGAATCACAATCATGAATTTAACTTGGTCTACGCTAGTTATGTATCCTGCACAGGACGGTGCAGAACCAACCTAGGCATTTTTTCGTTTTCTGCGAGTTCGCTATCAAATTTTACGTTCAGTAGTTTTCCACTGCTTCTGAATGGTCAGCTCTTGATACCACTGTCAAAACAAAAGCATAGCAGTCTGCTGCCAAACTGCCAGCAGCTAGGATCGAACCTGGCACCCTAGGAAGTACAAAAGCATCTGCAACAGCTAAGCCACAGAGGCTGACTTTGACTAAAACATAATACTGAGATGCATATATAAACAAAAAATCATAATTCTGTTGTGTCATTTATACATCACACTGGGCTCGTTTCCAATTTCTCCTTTCTATTTCATTGGCCCGATAAAAGCATGCCATAAACCGATTAATAAGGCTGTTTCCTCTGAAGTCAGAGTGCATCTGCCTGAGAGGCGAGGAAACAACAGACCGCATGAAAAGCTAGATCTGTTAAAAAAAAAAAAGAAAAAAAAAAGAATGTGCACACAAAAGACGAGTCCTGGAACAAGACCAAATTCCAGAAGTGGGGGAAACAATCAGAACTTTCCACTGCAGTTTACAGACGTGGACATTAAGAAGAAGAAGAGGAATCCATTTTCTTATTCATTTATTTGCAAATACATTTAACTGTCGTTACATATAAATCTCTTAACAATGTAAAAAAAATATGCAGCTTCAATGGAAAACAATAGAGAAGACAAGAAAACTGCACTTGAATGACATAAAACATTCACACATGGACGGAAAAACCTCCAACAGAAACTAGAATGTTGAAGAAAAAAAACAAAGCTATTCAAAATACCGCCAAAAATTTCCACCTAAAGATGGCGTAAAGGTGCTGAACTCAATCCATGATATCAAAAAGGTTGCACAAATATTACAGGATGGAGGAACAGAACTAGCCCTAAGTAACATACAAATGGCCCAGTAGGATGATGATGATGAAGAATGATGGCACAGCTTGTGGGTCGATCTAATCAATGGTAGAAGAGAAAGTGTGAAAAAAGTGTAAGTTTTATTGCTGAACACGAACGAACAAACTTAAAATTAGGCACTCAAACCCATCTAGCATTCTACCCTTCTATTCTCCCTCCTTTCATACATTTCATTCATAAATCAAGTAATAGTAAACATTATCAATAGCATCAACAACATGAGGAGGATAGTTACCTCGAGAATGCCTCTCCTGGGAGCATATATGATGAAACAATTTTTTCGTTGAACACGAGCGAAACCATTTTTTTTTAAAGGGTTACAAATAAGGCACTCAAGACCATTTACTATTCTACCCCTCTATTCTCCCTCCTTTCATACATCATTTCATTCACACATCAAGTAATAGTCAACATTATCAATATCATCAACAATATGACGAGGATAGTTACCTCGAGAATGCCTCTCCTGGGAGCATATATAATGAGGAACTGGGCAATCCTGTAGTGGTCACTGTTTCTCCCTGGTTCCACATTCTCCTCCTTAACCTCCAGCCAGCCCAGCTGAGCATCTCTGTAACCTACATCAACAGGATCAACAAATGGCAATCAATATTCTGATCAGAATTTTCAAAATACCACAAGAAGACAACACAGATTTCTGTCACTGTCAAAACAGCCAGTATTTACCAGTTTACAGTTGAGAGGGGGTTCTAAAATGGGATCTCAGAACCCACACAGGGTCTAACTGAAACAACCAGTAAAAAAGACTGCAGTCTGACTAACATCCATGAATCGCTATACCTCTCTGCTGAAGGAAAATAACAGTCATGGTCTTAGATACCATTACCCTGCATAATTTTGCGAATATGTGGACTAAGTACACATCCCAGTTGGGAACCTGTTTCTAGGAACAAACAAATGAACGAACAATCAAACTCTATTTTCAAAGGGTTACAAATTGGACACGCAGGCCATCTTACATTCGACCACCAATGCATGTTATCGATAATGCAGGACAGGATGACAGTGGAGAGGCACAGATGAAACCCTGGTCCTGGTTCAGCCACTTCTGCATCCCATATTTCACTCACTCCCAGACAGTCAACTGCAGTCTCATGATGGATGACAGACACAGTGGTCATCATTACTTGCGATGGATGAACAGCATCTCATGTTTATACCCACCTGTCTTAAATTGCTGGGTGGGAGGAAAAGGTACAGTAGAATGGCTGGATCAGGTAACTCCGCGCCAGAATTCAGTGCGATTAACCTGATTAAATTAAAGCATGTGCCATTTTCGTGAAGAAAATTGGCTGTACTCACTGCTGCATTTTGGAATATTATAGGGTCAGACCCCAATCTCTTGGTGCGACTCTTGTACCATTATCAGAAAACCGCAAGAATTCTCTTCTTTGAATAAACCATCCACTGGGGTCGTAAGAGCTGACTAACTGGGATCTTTCTTTAAAGTCAGAGTGCATCTGTCTGAGAGGTAAAGAACCAACAGTTTGCATACAAATAAGCAAGAGCTGTAAAACGGATGCACACACAAAACTCAGGTCCTGGAACAAAGTCAAAGTCCAGAAATGGATCAACAACCAGGTCTTTCTGCCGGGGTTTACAGCCGGTGAATGCAAACAGTAACTCACCTCTAAGTTACTGAACCTCCTGAGTAACCAGAAAATAATTATTAAAACTAATGAAAAGGGTCAGACCTTTCCACATTCGCACAGCTATTCCTCTCTGCACATCAATGAGGATGACACGACCAAAACTGTCCGTTGTGGCTGCATAGTTGTTGCATGATGACAGCATAATCACCTCCCCAGATCTCCGCTTGTCTGGCAAACCATATCTGATGAGTAAAGAAAAGTAAATAAAACCATATCTGATGAGTAGAGAAAAGTAAATAAAACCATATCTGATGAGTAGAGAAAAGTAAATAAAACCATATCTGATGAGTAGAGAAAAGTAAATAAAACCATATCTGATGAGTAGAAAAAAGTAAATAAAACCATATCTGATGAGTAGAGAAAAGTAAATAAAACCATATCTGATGAGTAGAGAAAAGTAAATAAAACCATATCTGATGAGTAGAGAAAAGTAAATAAAACCATATCTGATGAGTAGAGAAAAGTAAATAAAACCATATCTGATGAGTAGAGAAAAGTAAATAAAACCATATCTGATGAGTAGAGAAAAGTAAATAAAACCATATCTGATGAGTAGAGAAAAGTAAATAAAACCATATCTGATGAGTAGAGAAAAGTAAATAAAACCATATCTGATGAGTAGAGAAAAGTAAATAAAAACCATATCTGATGAGTAGAGAAAAGTAAATAAAACCATATCTGATGAGTAGAGAAAAGTAAATAAAACCATATCTGATGAGTAGAGAAAAGTAAATAAAAGCATATCTGATGAGTAGAGAAAAGTAAATGAAACCATATCTGATGAGTAGAGAAAAGTAAATAAAACCATATCTGATGAGTAGAGAAAAGTAAATAAAACCATATCTGATGAGTAGAGAAAAGTAAATAAAACCATATCTGATGAGTAGAGAAAAGTAAATAAAACCATATCTGATGAGTAGAGAAAAGTAAATAAAACCATATCTGATGAGTAGAGAAAAGTAAATAAAACCATATCTGATGAGTAGACAAAAGTAAATAAAACCACATCTGATGAGTACATAAAACTAAACAACCGTCTGGCAAACAATATCTGATGAGTTTAAGTTTATTCAACGGATCAACATCATGGTACATGGGTGTAACCCATAAGTTCTAACTTAAGCCTGAGTCTGAAGCTCCCAGTGCAGTGCATGAACTCCATTGCCCCGGCGAGGATCCTGAAATACTTTGGGTAGATTTTTAACTCAAAATTGTGCCCGGACAGCACCCTTAGGCTACTCTTTTTTGATTTCCAACTGCCAAGGTATTTTTTATGTGCGCAACAATACACATGGGCATCCAGTCTTACTACCAGAAGACCAGGGGAAATTACGAGAAGTCCACGATAAAAATCAGTGACTGAGATGCTGCTAACGTGCTTCATAATTCCTAAATATCTAGTTCAATTCCAGCTGCAAGAAATCTGGCAACAGAATGCTCCGTGCTCATTTTGACAATAGCATGAGGTGCCTACCATTCAGAAAGCAGTGGCAAACTAATGAACTTAACATTGTCTACTAAAATTGCAAACAGCCACACACACACAAAAAAAGGCTGAATTTGATCCTGTAAACTATACGCAACTAATTTTAAACCATACAGCAAATTTAGTGAGAAACAGAAGATAGAATGGTTTGGTCATTTAGTAAGAATGCAGTCAGAACAACTTCCAACACAGGCGCTACACATGAAAATCTGAAGTGAAACCAAGAGGCCGCCCTAGAAGAAGATGGACTGATGGCATTACAGAGCCTCTACATCGACATGGAGAGGCTCTAGCCATTGCTGCCCTGCAAGCAATGGGTCACAAACTGTTCCTCTCCACTAAGCTTAATGGTAGAAGTAAAACTGATGATGAAGATGGTTTTTGTATTCAGCATGTTTCAAATGCTGAAACAGAACAACAATTTATAACACAAATAGATGATGCTACAAGAATATGAATGATAGTGAAGGAGAATGCTATTATATATACTTCTCTAAAAACCACTGATAATGGCAAAACACTGATAATGTCAAACCACTGATGTCAAACCACTGTTATTGTCAAACCACTGTTGATGTCAAACTACTGATAATGTCAAACCACTGACAATGTCAAACCACTGGCGAGGTCAAAACCACCGATAACGTCACACCGCTGATAATGTCAAACCGCTGATAATGGCAAACCTTTGATGCTGTCAAACCACTGATGATGGCAAACCACTGGTGATGACAAAACCACTGATGATGTCAAACCACTGATGATGTCAAACCACTGATAATGTCAAACCACTGATGACATCAAACCACCGATAAAATCAAACCGCCAATAATGTCAAACCGCTGATGATGTCAAACCATTGATGATGTCAAACCACTGATAATGTCAAACCACTGATGATGGCAAACCACTGATGAAGTCAAACCACTGATGAAGTCAAACCACTGATGAAGTCAAACCACTGATGATGTCAAATTACCTCAATGGTAAAAGAACTGCAGGCTCGATTTTGGGAAGTTTTTCCTTTTCCTCTTTGCCTTTTGCTCCAAACCCTAACCACCCACTGCAAAAAAAATAAAAACAGAACCAAAAGAATGTTCATTAAGATGTAAACAATAAAATACACAACAACTGCTTGATTAGACTGAAATGTGCAAAATTTAAAATAAGGTTTGTTTGTTAGTTTGTTTTAGTATCCAGAAGCCATGAGTAAACCCTTAGGATCGTTATTATGGATATCGCAACCTTTCAGCCTTGATTCCATTATAAATACCGTAAATCCGGGAAAAATGTGGCTTTCCTGCCTACCCCCGGGATTGAACCTGGACCACAAGGAGTTCGTCACTCGGTCTCCGCGCAATCCGGTTTAGCCAACTAGGCTAGAGAGCCGGGCTTAAAATAAGGTAAACTTGTGTTAAAGATCTGGTTAATGTGTAGAAATGATTATTTGCACACACATTCTCTCTGAATATAGTGCTTGTTTATCCTAGGATGAGGAAATGCCTGAAAACTTAAATGTTATGGCAGTGGAAAGCAGGCTCACAGTCTCTGCTGCTAGCAGGTCTACAAGGGAAGCTCTGGCAGGTGGACATTCATAGCACCGCTCTTCTGATCTGGCAGCTTCTGAGTTTCAGACTTACTGGCCTGACTTTCCTCTGCAGTCAACAAAGCAGGCAGAGAGAGGGATCCTGCTGCATGGACAACCAATGGTCTCTACTATACTGCCCAGACTGTTTTGCTACGAAGAGGAAGAACTTCCCATCCGGCCTTAACTGGTTTTGCTATGGGTTGTGATTCTCATGTTTTACTGTTGCATAATGAACATTATCATCTGAAAAAACAGAAAGGTGCCAATACTGCCAGAAAACAGAGGCAGACCAGGAGCTTGTCAACATGCACAGTTAATCACAGCATGAATAAATGAAGAACTGACATCAGTGCAGGATGGACAGTCTCACATGTGCTCTGTCCCCTTCATCAGTAGCCAACAAACCGCCCATATTGTTAGCTGATTAAAGTCTGCTGTCCTTTCCCTTGTATATTAATTTGTCCAAACATTCTGCTCTCTCCTAGCTGAATCAGTCTCTCCTATATGGATACTCTGTTGCCCTTTCTCCTTGATTTCCAGACAGCCTTCACCACATCCCCTTTATCATACAACAGTTTGATGCCCACAGGAGTAGCAGCTGCTAATCTATCAACCCGCTCATTACCCTGCAAGTTAATCACAGTTAGGTTAGGTTAGTTGCGCATCCTTTACAGGACGTTGCAGAACCAACCCCAGCAGCCCCTGGCTGTTGTGTGGTTTCTCTAGGCAAATTTACGTCCAGTAGTTTGCCATTGCTTTCTGGACGGTCTGCCCCCTGATACCACTGTCGAAAACAACGCAAGGCGCATGGCCCGCAGCTGGGATCGAACCTGGCACCCCGGCATTACGAAGCGTTCACATCAAATTAGCCACAGAGCTGACTAATCACAGTACAATGATGAATTTACTATTAAGATGATCTAGACTCATGGACTTTTGTGTGAGTCAGAAATGCAATGATAATGTCAACTGAATCACCTGACTGGCTGTTTTTTTTAAAATAAATATCTTTTACCGGACATCATAAGCCACCCCCAGGATTGGCTGACCGTGGCTTTACCAGGCAATTTTATATTCAGTGGTTTACAACTGTACTCTTAATAGTCAATGCTCATAACACTGTTGAAATCAATGCAAAGCAGTCTGCTCACAAGCTGCCTACAGCTGAATTGAACTGGGTATGTCAGATTTAGATGGCCATGGTCATTGAGTTAACCGTATGTGTCGATTCCTCCCCACCAAATATATGGTTGACACATTCGGTTTCTAGGGACAGCTTTTATCGAGTTTGCTCTCTAGACAGTTGCAGGCCCCTGCTGACGAGATTCTGTCTTCCCGAGTGGACCGCCGCGATCAAAACATTGCGAGGGCAGCATGGCCGAGGCTGCCAAAACTATCGGTCATTATTCCGCCCCGACACAGCACAACCACAATACACGCTGTTCCCACGAAAAACACATAGTATCCTTAGTTGGAAATGCGCATAAAATAACAGTCCATGATTATGGAACAGAATAATCCGAGAGAATTGACAGCCAGCGAAAATAAACACAGCTGCTGTCCGCCATTTTGAAAATGGAAGTCCTGATTTAGATAACTATGTTCAAAACCTATAAGCCAGAGACATAAAAAAAAATATATATATATAAATAGATATACATTTATAAATATCTATAGTTTTGTTATTGGCACCTGTCCATCTTTCCAACAGACAACAGAGTTATACTGTGCAATAAGGAGACATAGGACTCACAGCCCATGGTGATGGTTAGTGTGACTAGCAAGATCCGACAGCGTATAGAAGTCTTCCACAATTATAGCATGGGATTTCAGTACGGTTGTTTCTATCATTTGTAATTAGTGTGATTTTTCTCAGACCCTCAGCTGTCATCCTTTCTGCAATCATTCCATTCCTGATTTGACTTTTTCCACACAACACAGTCCATGGCATTTTGTTCACGTGAATCCAACTTAATACCTGTATAATTCATGTTCCTCTTGCACATATCTTTATACTGTAGCAAAGGTCGGCCTCGTCATCTTCTACCTATCTGTAATTCACTACAGAGGATGACCTTAGGGACTCTACCCTCCTCCTTTCTCCTGGTATGACCCAGCCACCTGAGCCTTATTAGACTGAGTATTATTTTTTTTTAAACTGTTTAATACCTTCTCTTTCCAGTACCTCAGTGTTTGTGATCTTGTCTTGCCACTTAATGCCAAGCATTCTTTTTAGGCATCACACGTGAAAGCCGTTTCTCCTGGTGTGAAACAGCTGAGACCAAGTTTTACTGTCATACAGAAGAGTGCTGAGAACACAGGCCTGATAGACAAACATTTCTATTTTAATCACGAGTTTTCTGTTCTAAACTCTCTTTGTAAATCTGCTTATATATAAAATACATATATATCAAATATTACCTGGCAGCTGTGATCAATGCAGACTTGATTTTATTGGCCATGGCTATAGCCACCTCGGACAGAATCGGCTGTGTAAAACCCTGCAGAGAAAATAAATAATAAATCTGCACTGAGACTTCATGAGGTTCAAGAGTGCCACAACTAGCATTTTTATCTGGTTCAAACCCTGAGTGGGATTTTTAGTTTAAACTGACCTAGAAGCTGAATCATCTCATCAAACAAAGCTTTAGTGCATAGAACAAAATAACAGATCTGAATGTCCAATAATCAAAGATGTCAGAATAACATATACACAACTTTGTTAAAATTAAAGTAAGATTTATCTGTGAGATGAAACATATAGACCAGTCAAATCTCTAAATTAAAGAAACAGCACATAATATATTTGCATACATAATAAATATACAGAGAGGGGGGAGGCAGCAAGAGAGAGAGAAAAACAGAGGAAGAGAAAGAGAGATTAAACAAATTGAAAAGACCCTTGAAGTACATTGGGTATGTGGGACTATCCCACATTTTTTATAGATCAATCAACACTCAACAAGTGATGTGGTCAATATCTTTTTTCTTAGCATTCACCGGCTGTAAACTCCAGCATAAAGTTCTGGTTGTTCATGCATTTATGGTCTTGGGTCTTATTTCAGAATGTGAGTTTTGCAAGTACATCATTTCAAAGAACGAACGAAAGGACGAACGAACGAAAGGACGAACGAACGAAAGGACGAACGAACGAACAAACAAACTTTATTTTTAAAGGGTTAAGAATTGGGCACACAGGCCCGTCTAACATTCTGCCCTTCGAGGTCTCCCTAAGCACTTCGTCTTCGAAAGAAACTTCCCTAATCAGTCACTTTTTACAACATGCTTGTTGTTGGGGGGGGGGGGGGGGGGGGGGGGTTTATTCCTTCCCCCCCCCCCCCCCCCCTGCCGAAATGGAGCCCCGGAACACTTCAAAGAATAACTGGTCCACTAGGTTTTATTCACAGCTCGGTTGCAATATCTGCACCTTTTGCCCAACACATTCGATTTCAGCAAACCCCTAATTAGTCGCCTTTTAGGACTACACTACAGTTTCCTAGTGGCTGTAGATTCATGTTCGTAAAAATACATCATCAGTAAACATACGCCATGCTGCTAAGTGTAAATCTGACACAATCAACAGAATCACAGAACAGGTCAAGGCTCTTGTCTCATCCCATCCATTTTATGCCTGCCTTCCTCTTGTCTTCTTTTTCTTCTTTCATTCTCTTGAAATAGATTATCTATATCTGCAATGTTGTCTCTAGTATGAACTTCACTGTCTTTTGTAATTCCCTCAGCGACATGTAAAGTTCAACTTGCACCGATGTTTCTCTTGGCATAAAGTTTTGCCTTCATATGTTGTATGTTGTTACCAAGTTCCTGAGTCCATTCCTTCTCATAACAAGCCCAAAAACAAAACAAGAAATACTGACTGTCTACGTCTAATTGATCTAATATGTTTACAACTTTCACTAAAAACTCACTGGGATCTAAATTAAAGAATATCATGCCAATTTTGCAAGGAAAAGCACACCAGTCAAGATCATAAAAGATTGATATCTTAAAAGACAACATTATTGTACAGTGTTGGCTTACTTCAACAGCATAAAAGAATCCAACATACGGCCCGGTTCCTGTTGTCATGAACACAGACATTGCAGGGGGGGATGTTTTCACCGTGGCTTTGAAACCTCCCAGCAGAGAGGCAGCTTTCAGCTGGTCAAATGGGTTTGCACATACCACACCTGGGCGAAGTTATAGGTTTAATATCAGTTCTTTAATATTATTAATATTATTATATTAAACTGAGTGTGTCTGTTTTTATATTATTATTTTATACTGTTAAAATTACTGAGCATACATATGTATTTTTTATAAAGTCTGTGTATCGGTAAATGAACCTGAATGTTGAGTGTGGAATTAGGAATCAACATCACAGCACTTAGGACACTCCCATAAGCACTCAGTCCCCATCTTCAGCAGCAAGCGAAGAGTTTCAATTTAAATGGCACCAGTAACTGTCTGATTGTATATCTGTCTCACCCTTCCCCTGAGTGTTGAGCATCTGCCAGATCTCCTGGCAATTCCTCACACCGTAATGATCCATCTGTGCCTCGCGCTGTTCACTCGCTTCCAAAGGGCCCTAACAATATCTAGCTTGTCATACATCAATTCACCACTGAGTGGTGCAGAGCCAGTCAGTCTATCTGCATGCTCATTTCCCAACACACCAGCATTACCTGGAGAAAATATCCAAAGGACACTACCAGGGACCTCTGAAGTGATGCTTGCTAAACTACCAGGGACCTCTGAAGTGATGCTTGCCAAACTACCAGGGACCTCTGAAGTGATGCTTGCCAAACTACCAGGGACCTCTGAAGTGATGCTTGCCAAACTACCAGGGACCTCTGAAGTGATGCTTGCCAAACTACCAGGGACCTCTGAAGTGATGCTTGCCAAACTACCAGGGACCTCTGAAGTGATGCTTGCCAAACTACCAGGGACTTCGGAAGTGATGCTTGCCACTCTGCACAGAGCATGCATGTCTCCACCTTTCTCAACATGCTCTGTGAGTCAGTTACAATCACAGCATGTATGTACAGCTCATTCTCAAGCCAGTGAAAGGCAGCAGTGACTGCCTCCACCTCCATTCTCAAACTAAACGTTGTGATATCATATGCAAGGCCATGCTACACTAAGTGATGTCTATTTGCCTTTGCTTTGAACCACCATGCATTTCGTTTGCCTCTCAACACAGAGTCATCTGTATAGATAATCACATCACTTGGGCGAGAATTGTCATGAATTATTTATTGAACTACTGATCGGTAAATGAACTTGACATCCCACACTGTGCCAATGGCTTCAGGCAAAAGAGTGCATTGGGAAGGATACTAGCCTTATCCTAGGAAGAGGAATGCAACCTGAAAATTACATGTTATGGCAGGGCAGACACTTAGCTTCGGCTGGCAGCTGGTCTGAGAGGGAAGCTCCTACAGGCGTACAGAGACATAGCACACAAAATAACATTTAGCTTACCACAGGACACATAATCACTGACTTTCTCCTGGTCTCCCAACGACCACTTCTTGTAGACTAGAGGAGGAGGCTGCAGCAGATTCTCAGTTCCACTTGCAGTGGCTGGTAATCATGAAATAAACATGTTCAAATGTGCCAGATCATAGACAAGTGCATATTAAAACCCCAAACAAGAGTGAATATGTAATGCTAAATGAAATCCCATGAAAGATATTGCCCTAGAATTCAAACATTAACCCTGTCTCCTCAAAAAGAACAATCGAGTCACTCCCGGTTGTGTCCTGTAAACATAATATATGGCTATACCTACCATGATCTGTTCCCAAAAAGTGTACATTCCATTGGTCCATTGTGAATCTTGTCACAGACAATGTTTAATAGGTCAGGATATGAATATAGTAACTAAACATAGCATTCATGGCATTTCCTTATGACCCAAAGATGTTGCTGAAAGCCAAGCTGATGTCTGATTTTCCCATAAGCCTCAGTGATATAGGTTGTACAGTCATGGTATGAGTCCCTCAACAGATACTGTTTTTTTTAGGCCCCTGTGAATGCTCCTGGGAATCTGATACTTCACTCTGTTCATGTTTATTAATTATATCTTTAGATATTTCTAGAAAAACATTTAAATGTAGAAAAAAAAAATTTTTTTTAATTTATTAAGTGACCTGTGTAATAGGATTTTTTTATACAAATTTTTCCTGAAAATTCCAAGTTCATGACCAATTTTGTCTTTTAGCATTCAAAAGGGTTAAAACATCACACAGATTACATGCAAACTGTTCTTCATAAGAGTCAATTCTGAAATTGATCAAGTACTAATTTTACAAGACAGAGTAGGCCCCAAAGCCATACAAGTAAGGACACAATAACTAAAACTGATTTTGGTTGTGTAATGTACAGTCGGTTCATTTGTAATTGTTAACACTGCACTCCAAAGATGTAATAGGCGTCCAACATTTTCCACAATAAAGTCATCCGTAAAGTCTTCTGTAATAAAGTCATGTGCTAGTTCAATGTTGCATGCTTTTCTAGCCACAGATCATCAATCTAATTCAATCTATTTTTCCTCCTCCCTTTATCCATTAATGGAGCATCTGATGGAGCATAAGCTCTCAACCAACTGGTGCCATGCTGTTAAATCCTTTGCCACTTCTTCCTCTTCTTCGTGTTCACCAGCTCTAAACTCCGGTGGAAAGTTCTGGTTGTTCGTCCAAATCTGGACTGCAGTCCTGTTCCAGAATCTGAATTTTGCGTGTACATCAGTTTGACAGATCCGACTCGTTTGTATGCAGACTGCTGGTTCCTTGCCTCTCAGGCAGACGCATTCTGACTTCGAAGGAAGCTCCCATTTAGTCGACTCTTACGACATGCTTTTGGGTAGGCAGTGGGTCTATTCTTGTTTACCCTATAACAAGGACGCAGAACCCACCCGGACCTTTGCCACTGAATACAGCACACTCCAGGGCCCCATTCCTTGGTCTCCAATACTCTTCTCCAAGACCTTAGCTTCAAGGTAAACCCAATATAAAATGGAAAGTAAAGGCGGCCAGCACATTGCTGACCACATCCCCCACCGAGTGCAGACTGGTCTATAAAATATAGGTCTAGTGCTACATGCACAATTGGCTTAAGGGTGTGGAAAAGAGTTCTTTACTTTACGTTTTTTTAAATATCCAGAAACCATGAGTTATTAACCCTTTGGCTCGGCATTTTTCCCTCCCCCAGGCGTAAACCAGGTGTAAACCCGAGTTCGTCACCCGGTCACTGCGAAGTCAGCTTTAACCAACTACGCTAGCGAGCCGGGTGGGTGAAGAAATAAAAGATATGTCTGGGCAGCCACTGGTAGCAACAGTTATAAGACAAAGAAGGTGGCGCTACATTGGACACGTCCTGAGAAGAAACAAGCAGAGAATCACCAGACAGGTACTAAAATGGGAAATAAAAGGATTGAGGAAGTTAAAACTTCCTAAAAAAACTCTAAAATGAAAGTTAATGATAGAGGCCAAAGGTGCTGGAATGGATACCATCTATGATATCGAAGGGGCTGTACAGGATAGAATGGAATGGGGAAATAGACTGCAAGCCCTATGTGACAAATAATGGCACAACAGGACAGTGAGGATTCTAGAATTCCTGTGTGGGCTCCACATTTTTTGTCGTAAACGGCAACTTATTAATGTGCTCACATCACAAATGTTGGGCTGAAAGGTACAGATATCACAGACTAGCTGTAAACCATAACACAACTGCCCTTTTAAGGAAGAATGCAGAAGGAGCAGTATAACTAGAATCTCCTTGCACTGGAACCCACAGGGCAAGTCAACTAAAGGGAGACCACTAACACTACCGGGTGACGAACTCCTTATGGTCTGGTTCACACCCGGAGGTAGACAGAAAAGCGACATTTCTTCCAGATTTACCTTATCTATCATGGAATCAAGGCTGAAGGGTTGCGATATCCGTAGTACCGAGCCAAAGGGTTAACAACTCATGGTTTCTGGATATTTAAAAAAAAAAACAATATTTCTTCACTCCTCTTGAATGCAAGTATAATACTATATTTTCCCAGTGCAAGTTCTACCCAGCAGCCACTTCCTTTCCTCACCACTCAATTTACTGGCATATGTTAGTATACGTCACCAACAACAAAGAGCTCACCTCTAGCCACCTGGTTACAGCACGCCCTCAGAGACTGAATCAGGCTGAAGCCATCAATGGACACAATGGCTTTAGTGTACATGATCAAGAGTTCATCATGCTGTGAACATAACCAGGTTATGAAAATTTGCTCTTGTTAAAATGTGCACCACTTGAAGTGACAATCATATACAGTAAATCTTCATTAACACAATTCAAGGAACCAAAAAATCAAAAGTTTGTGCCCAAAAAAAAAAATCTTTGCTAACCTGGGACTAATGGATGCATTATGAATAATTCATCCCTGCTGGCAAAAGCATTCTGTTCATTTTACAAAGTGTAGTCTTAAGTGAGTTCATGTAAACAAGGTTTTACTGTAGGTCTTCTCCTTAAAGTCCGTGCTGTGTGGTGTTGATGTCTATCCACAATCTTCTTAGCATTCACCATCTGAAAACTCTGATGGAAAGTCTGGTTGTTTGTCCACTTCTAGGCTTTGGTCTCCTTCCAGAACTTAAGGTTTTCGAGCATTTATTTTTAATAGATTTGACTTATTTGTATGCAGACTGTTGGTTCCTCCAACTTCGGAGAAACAATCTACTGTCTCCTGTACTTTCAATGAATTTTCACACAGATGATTTTCCGTGCAATGATGTCAAACTGCCCAGCATCATCTCTCCTAATCAACCAATCAGTCAGGTGCCGTCACAACAATGAAGATTGGCTGCAGTGGATCTCCAACACGCTTTGTCTCTTATCTCGGCTGTACACTCTCTCAATCTGCTATTCGTCCATCTCTTGATGTTTTCCTCTCACTTGTAATGCTGCCTACTTTCTCTTTTGCCCTCTACATTTCCCTCCAGTATGGTTTTTAAAAGTACATTATGTCTGTGTTAATATGGTCAAACATTTCAAGTGTCTATTATTTCTTTCAATAATTCTCTTTTCATTTTTGCAGTCTTTCCAGAACCTTTCCAAAGCCATTTTGCCCTACAGTCTCTCTTAATGTAATTAAAACATATTAATGTAAAATCTGACCAAGGTGTCTGACAAACAGTAAGTAAAAGTTGACGTAGGAGCCGAAGGCATACTTTTTTTTTTTTTCAATCGATGTGGATTCAAACCCAAGACTGTCAAACAGGCACACTGAAAATCTCAAACATTCTGACTCCAGTCTTTACCAACAATCTCCCCCTGGGCTGGAGTCTGTTATTTAAAACTTGTGAAGGAACCATTACTAAGCCAGGCCGCCTTCTTCTGTATTTGTTCTCAAAAGTTTGGTTTTAGTTTTGTGTGTTATTTACAGCTAGGCTACAATATCTGCACCATTCAGCCCAACACAACATATTTCAGCAATCCCATAATTAGTCACCTTTAATCCCATAATTAGTCACCTTTAATCCCATAATTAGTCGCCTTTAATCCCATAATTAGTGACCTTTAATCCCATAATTAGTCGCCTTTAATCCCATAATTAGTCGCCTTTAATCCCATAATTTGTCGTCTTTAATCTCATAATTAGTCGCCTTTAATCCCATAATTAGTGACCTTTAATCCCATAATTAGTCGCCTTTAATCCCATAATTAGTCGCCTTTAATCTCATAATTAGTCGCCTTTAATCCCATAATTAGTCGTCTTTAATCTCATAATTAGTCGTCTTTAATCTCATAATTAGTCGCCTTTAATTGCATAATTAGTCGCCTTTAATCCCATAATTAGTCGCTTTTAATCCCATAATTAGTCGCCTTTAATCCCATAATTAGTCGCCTTTAATCCCATAATTAGTCGCCTTTAATCCCATAATTAGTCGCCTGCTTCTTAGGGGGGGCAGTGGGTTTATTCTTATTCCACAAGGTGAGTCTGGACCTAACGCCTGCAAAGTCTTGCCCTGGTTTCAAACTTTTAAGCTCACTGAGTGGTTTCCAGGGACCTATTTCTGGAGAAAAAAAAGAATAGCCCCCCATCCCCTTTCTCCCCATTAAAGTCAACTTCAAAGTCCTTCAAAGTCTGAGTGCATCTGCCTGAGAGGTGAGGCAACAACAGTCTACAAACAAAGGCCAGATCTGGAAAACAGATGCGCAGACAAAACTCAGGTTCTAAAACTAGACTTAAATACAGAAGCGGATGAACAACTAGAACGTTCTGCCAGAGTTTACAGTCGGTAAACACAAAGAAGAAGAAGAAGACACCATGAGGGGAAACTAGACACAATCCCTGCAAGTCCACACATGCTGAACTAAATCATTCCCTGCTTACACATTTTTAAGCTTCACAGACGTGAAAGTTCAAATTAGTTAGTCGAGTTCCATTTCACTGCAGACAGGTCACACCATAACTGTTCTGTGGAAAGCACACACAAACATGTTCTTCAATGTACCATTTAGAAACAGTGAAAAACTTGTCAGTCCCAGAAAAATCTTGAAGATTGCACATGCAATGTAAAAATGCATTAGGCAGCTGTCAAATGTGCCAACACTGACTGTCCCACACCAGAATGAAGCTCAATAGTGGTGCAAAAGGTTAATTACTAAAGCCGGCATTGCGTCCTTAAAAGTACATGCAATTCCCAATGTAATCAGCCACTTGCCAGTATAGTGCAGTCAACAACATGCCATGGGCACATAGGAAACAAATATTCCACATGAAACACACAGGTCAGAGTGTCAACCAAGCACTGAACTTAATATCTGGGCAACATAACACCCTACTAATTTCTGAGCTTGGGAGATTGAACACGGAGCTCTGCAACAATCCACGTTCAGATGGCAAATTAACACCAGTTTTGGAGGAAATTTTTTTTTTACCAACATCTCTCTGCCAGATGCAAACCTTTCACTTACAATTTAATAAGAATTTTTAGAAAGTGACATACGGTTTCAGCCATGCCCAGAAAACGAGGGGGTGAATAAGTTCGACACTTGAATTTCTCTATTCTTTCCAAGTGAAGCAGCTGTGACAGCAGCAACACACCATTCTGTAACATAATCAGCATTTGAAAACTGAACATAATAAAACTAAACATATTCAAAAGAACAATCAAACATATACTTTTATTGCGAACAGTTAAAGCAACGGCTATTCTGCTACATATAAGACACATTTAGAAAATTAAAAGTATGACAAAATTAGAGGTACGACAAAAGATGAAAATCCTGCGCTAGATGATGCAATAGTGTACACTGATGGTTCTGTTCATTAGAGTGAAAGATCTGGCTGGAAGTATTCAGCTAGAGTGGAGGGAAAGATCGTGGCAGAACACAAATTTGCTACAACTTCAAGCATGAGAAGAGGTGGACGCAGTCACTGCAGCTCTGAAGTGGATAGCAAAAACAGAATTACCAGAGGAATTAAAGTGTCTTGATTCTCGGTTGATACTGTAGAAAATTTAACATTGGTGAATCAGCCATGTGCACATGTGGATTGGCACCTGAGACAACAGACCGCATCCTACAAGACTGTCCCAAATTCAATATATCAAGGCAAAACTTTTTGTCAAGAGAAATACCAGTGCTAGCCAAACTTCACGAGTTGCTGAGTGAATTACAAAAGACAGTGAAGTTCATACTACTGACAACATTGCAGATATAGATAATCTATTTTGAGTGACCGAAAGAAGAAAAAGAAGAAGATACTGTGGAAGGTTAAAGACCATTGTGTCATGAGTGGATACCAAGCATTAGCACATCAACATTACATAGACTCACATGGATTTACAGCCTAGGATAAGCAGAAGTGCAAGGGAATTAAAGAGCGGATTTCTAGCTTCAAAAGCGAAGATAAGTGAACACCTGCGCTGGACAAAGAAGAAAACAGTACGTACAATTTTTGGCTGCAGGAGACAGTGCATCTAAAAGTATGCCAAGTGTGCTATGATGTCAATTCTTAAATCAGTAAATAAATCATTTATAAACAACACATATTGTGTAGAAGAAATGCACACACTTCTGTGATGTAAGTTACAACATAGCATTCTTTGGTACTATACCAATGTCTACTAATTGCTAAATTCTTGTTTCGAGAAAATCATGTCTGAATACTGAGATCTCTCTGAAATACAAAACTGGCAAATGAAAACTGAGTAGTTATGTGAAAAGTAATACACCGTTTTGACCTATTTGAAGAAGGAATTCAGGTAACTCTCTTTAGAATATTGTAAATCGACAAACAAAAGCCCTTAAGTACATTTAGGTGAAAATCAACTAATTCCACTTACATGACTTTGGCTTAGAGCCAAGGATTTCATTCTACAACATAAATGATAATTTTAAAACCTACTTTCACATACGGAGAATAACGATCACACATATTACTGTGCAGAGTTATATTCAGCAACATATATATTTATAAATATATTATTTATGTTCAGCTGATTCAAGAACCGACATCACAGCACCTGGGGCATTCCCATAATCCCTTTGTCCCTATCATCAGCAGCCAGTGAAGAGTTTCAATACCAATGGTGCCAGTAGCAGTCCGATTATGCCTCCGTCTTGCTTTTTCTCTGAGCGTCGAGAATCGGCCAGATCTCACCACTCCTCGCTGCATCACTCGCACCAGATTGTGATAACCAATTTGCTGTTCCAAATTTTACATGTGCTCCCACAAGGCTTTAACCCCGTCTGTCTTATCAGGCACCAATATTACAGGATTCTGTGCACAGCCAGCCATTAAAAATATATTATTTCAAAGCAGTTATCCCAACCTGCTCTACCTATGTACCAGTCCTGACCTATGGGTGTTAGTCATGGGCAATTACAACAGCTCACAGAAGCCAGCTGCAGGCCTCGGAAATGAGATATCTGAGAAAGGTGGTCCAAGTGACAAGAAGGGACAAAGTCCACAATCAGACAATACCTCAAGATCTCGATACCCAGTCCTTACAAACCCGAGTGGATCAGTCACAGTTACGATGGTTTGGACATGTATGCAGAATGGGAGAAAATCGGCCACCATGGCAGGCATGGGAGGCTAAGAACCAGGGAACCAGACCTCCAGGACGACCCAGGGTGCGCTGGGAAGACAACATCCGACAGTCCCTAACTGACAGAGGACTGGAATGGAAGAAAGCCAGAAAGAAAACTGCTGATAGAGACGCTGGCGATCTCTCTGGCAAACCTCTACACCCCAAGGTAGAAGAGGAGCGACTAAGTAAGTAAGTAAGTATCCCAACCTGAGAATACATTCTCACATATCCTGATGAGAAACCTACGAAGATGCAAGTCCAGTCAGGCCCACCTTGGGTGCTTCTGTGAAAATAAAAACAAGTTTAATTCAAGATTTCAAAATTATCTATTCAAAGCATTGATATTCTATCCCTTTATCCATCCATCTATCAATAAATCAATGAGGCAAGAAGGCAAGTAGGCAGGTAGCATTGTCAATCAGTCAAGCAGAGAGGTAGGCAATCAGTCAGCTATGTCTTCAGTTCTGACAAGTACAAATAAATACCATGCACAGACATATTAAGAAGGTCATGAGATGAATACAAAAAATTTTTTGTTCTGAAAAAAAATTATTTAAAAAAAAAGTATCACTTTTAGTTAGCATCTTCCCCGTGTGGGTTCCGGGGCCCCTTTGTGGGGAAAACAAGAACAGACCCACTGCCTCCCTAACAAGCATGTCGTAGAAGTTGACTAATTGGGGACTTCCTTTGAAGTCAGAGTGCATCTGCCCGAGCGGGAAGGGACAACCAACAGCACACAAATAAGCCAGTGAAGCGGATGGAAGAACACACAAAACTCACGCACTGGCACAAAAAGCCAAAGTCCAATTGGACGAACAACCAAGACTTTCCGCTAGAGCTTAGAGCCGGTGAACAAAGAAGAAGTTAACTTCTGAATACAATTTCTTATTACACAATAAAACAACAGAATTACCTTTTCTGAGATGCCAAAGGCAGGCACAGAAGAGCTGTAATTGTTTCTCTGTAAATTTTAAAAAATAAAAAAGCATTTATAAAAAGCAGGGTGTTTTTTTTCTTCTCACTGTATGCAATGGTACACAGTACCAGCACTCTTTTTAATTATTTTTTTTCAAGCGCTACTGTAATAAAAACTTTGTGGTGAGCAGAGGCAACTTTTTTGGACATTTTGAGGTGTGTACTGCAGTTTTGTGTATTGAAGGAAACAAAAAACCTGAACAAAAAACATAAGTTCAATTTCAACTGAAAGATTATAATGTTTTTCACCATAGTAGACAAACGCTGTGATAATTTAAAATGTTGTATTAACACCTTTCTCCACCTTCTTCTTCTGTGTGCTTTTCCGCGATGGCCCTTAGACTCTCAACCAACTCATGTTTTATTTTATCCTTCCCTGCAGCTTCTGCTGGAGTTTACAGCCTGTGAATACTGCGAAATAAAAACTATTGTTTAGCAAGGATTACTTTTAACATTTTCTGCCACAGCTTCACTCTGGAGGAGTGGCTGTCCGAATGGTTAGAACCTGGGCTCTCAAGCGGGAGACCCAGGTTCGAATCCTCGGTAAAGCTGAGAATTTTTTCTGTCGGGGGCAAAATTAAAACCTCACCTGCAGTCATGGCGACAGCCCTAGCCATGCGGCTGTAAATCCTAAAGACCCCCAGCCTACACTGAAAAAGTGGTATAATAAAGGCAGTTTGGCTTCACTCTGAGCTTCATCAGACTTGCTCCAACTCCATCTTGAGTTATTCCAAGTTTGCACTGGCTCCAGCTACACTCTAGATTTATGCTGATTCCCTAAGGTTCCAGTTTGATTTCTAGCTTTATCTTATTTGCACAAGCTCTGGCCTATTCAGGAGCTGTAGTACTGCAGTGTCAATCAGTCTTGGCTGCTGGCTCCCTGGTAATGTGCCATAATCCCTGTAAACATGTTTTTGTTCATATGAACTAGGCTCTAAGCCAGGGTACTAGCAAATTCTTTGGAGAGTTGAATAATGAATTAAGAATCTACATCACAGCACTTCGGACATTCCGATAAGCACTTTGTCCCTATCTTCAGCAACAAGTGCAGAGTTCAATTACAATGGCACTCCTAACAGTCTGATTGTATTGTCTTGCCTTTCCCATGTGTGAGCATCATCAGTCAGATCCCCCGGCAATTCCTTGCAGCACCATCCCCCTCAGACAGTGATGAGCTTTTGTGCCTCCGCACTGCTCACTCTTTCCCAAAGGACCCTTACAACATCTATCCCATCATGCATAAGTTCATCAATAAGTGGTGCAGAACCAGCCAGTCTATCTGCCTGCTCATTTCCCCACACACCGTCATGACCTGGAGAAAATATCCAAAGGATGCTAACTAAACGAGACCTCAGACCTTTGCTCTATAAAGTAAAGGCAGGTGGTGTTCTGACCACATCACTTATCAAATGCCAAAATACCTATAGACATTTCGGGCGAGAAGCAAATTCCCAGTGTACCTCAGTCTGTGGACAAGTGGCCTCAACCTAACTGAAATTACACTGGGGACAGTTCTACAGGAGTTTCAACAAGTATCCTCAGGATGACTAATGTCTGAACGTGCAGGTAATGAATGAGAAGAAGAAGAAATAACAGCAGCTGAGGAGGAATAGGAGGAGGAGGACAAAGATGATGAAGAGAAGAAGCAGAAAAAAGATAATGAGTGGAAGGAAAAGGTGAAAGAGCATGAGGAGACACATAGAGAAGCAGGATAAGTAAAAGTAACAAGAAAACCGCTCCACATGTACACGACTCTGCCTGCACTACAACTAGATTTTTTTTCTCCACGGAGCATATGACATAATTCAAGAGTATTTGCAGATGTTTAGATTAATTATTCATCAAGCACAACAATAGAGTATTACCTTTCATCTACCCCTAAGGTAGCTTCCCAAATTGTGGTTAAATTGGAATCAATTTCTTCACCTTTCTTTTTAGGATCCCATTTCTCTGAAACATAGGTTTAGCTTGAAAACAGATAAAGTAATAAAAAAAAAATATAAAAAAACACACAAATATATATTTACACACACACATGATACTAATTTTTTTTCAACTTTAACTGCCCCATGTGGATGCTGGGGCCCAATGTAACGGGGGGAGGGGAGAGTGGAGGCCACTGCTTCTTAACAAGCATGCATTCAGGGAAACTTTTAAAGCTTAATTTCTTCATCATTACCCTAACAGACACACGAGTACCAGCACCTTTTTTTTTAACACTTTGTAGTAAGTACCTGCACCTAGGCAAGCTGCCATAAAGAAAATATAGAGAGGGGTCCCTACATCTTTATAATTTTCTTGGCAACCCCTCAAGGGGTCTTTCTCCTGAAAGAGGATTTATCCTTGTTTAATTAGGCAATAATAATTACAAAATAACTGACACAATATTTTTCTTACTGTGTGCCGAATGGCAAGTACAATTAATAACATATTTTAAATAATATGAAATGTATAAACATTCATTAAAAAAAAGATCTCTATATATGATAAGGCTTCCATAGCACAGATCTAGCTTATTTTTATGGAGACTGATGGGTTTCACATCTCTCAGGCGGGTGCACTCTAAGGTAGGGTCCCCTACCAATTAGTCAGCTTTTACAAGCTTTTGTTTTTAGGGGAAGGAGGCAGTGGCTCTATTCTTCTCTCCCTTACAATGAAGCCCAAATACACACAGAGGGAAGTATTGTGTTTCATTTCATCTTATTCCAGTCCCTTGTCTAGTTCAAAATGGGAGACCCTAACAGTAGCTAAGCTACTGTTAGGTCATTATTCCTCCCAAGCTCTTCTACCACAATAAAGTAGAGGCAAAGAATGAATTTCTGTTGCACTGAAACAGACTTTTCATGTTCGCACTGGCTGAGAAGCCACTGTTCTCTGCATCCCCTGAAGAAAAACTGGGTGGTTACATCATTTTGCCTCTTAGGGCATGCATGGCAGGTTATAGTATTACTATTCTTTCATTCCCCTGGTAACACATGGACATTCCTTCTCCTTCTTCTGTGTTCCTGGCTGTAAACTCCAGTGGACAGTCATGGTTGTTTGTCCACTTCTGGACTTTCGTTCCAAAACTTGAGTTGTGCATGCACATCCATTTTACAGATCTGTCTTTTTTGTATGCAGACTGTTGGTTCCTCAACAGGCAGGTGCATTTCGACCTAAAAGGAAACACCCCTAATTAGTCAGCTTTTATGACATGCTTTTTTTTGGGGGGGGGGGGGGGGGAGAGATGGAGTGGGTCTTTTCTTTTTCACCCCCCCCCCCCCCAACAAAGGGGAACTGGAACGAACATGGGGAATTCATTCATTGTCCTGTTATATCATTATATATTACATAAGATTTGCAGTCTGTTTCTCCATTCCATTTTATTCCATGCAATCACTTCGATAACATTGATGGAATCTAGTCCAACCCCTTTGGCTTCTCCCATCAACACTCACTTACTCAACCCCTGTATTTCACATTTCAGTGCCTGCCTGGTGATTCTCTGCTTGTTTCTGCTCAGAAAGTTGAATGTTGTTGAATGCTGAATTAAGAATCAACATCACAGCACTCAGGACACCCCCATAAGCGCTCCATCCCCATCTTCAGCAGCAAGCAAAGAGTTAAAATTCCGATGGCACCAGTGACTTTCTGACTGTATATCTGTCTCGCCTTTCCCCTGAGTGTCGAGCGTAGGCCAGATCCCCTTGTAACTACTCGCAGTGCCATTCTCCTCAGACCGTAATGATCTATCTGTTCCTTGGCACTGTTCACTCGTTCCCAAAGGTCCCTTACAACATCCAGCTTGTCATACATCAGTTCACCAAGTGGTGCAGAACCGGCCAGTCTATCTGCCTGCTCATTTCCCAAAACACTGGCATACCCGGAGAAAATATCCAAAGGATGCTAACTTCCCAGGACCCTTGAAGTGATGCTTGCCAATTTGCACGGAGTATGCTTGTCTCCCCCTTTCTCAACATGCTCTGTGAATTAGTTACAATGACGACATGTGTGTACAGCTGATTCTCAAGCCAGCGGAAGTCAGCTCAGAATGGGTCCAATATTGCATTATCTTATCTGTCATATAACTATTAATACTAGCAATTGCCCACACATTTCTTTTATTGCTTCACCTCTCTTAATTTCATCCAATTTTGTAATGATCATAACATCATCTCACATAAGTAAACACAAGCATAAACTCAAAAGGGTCAATAAGAAAAACAAACATCAGAAATCTCAACAACTCACGAGCCAAAACACAGATTCTGTGTTCATGAGCAATGGCTATAACGTCGTTTGTGGGAGACAGGGACACGAGGCAAGACTGCAGCCAGTTTTTATGATCCTCATGTCCCCCAGCATCTGTGCTTTCTGACTCTTCTTCTGTTGTTGCTTCTTGGTCATCAAAGCCCCAGTCCTGATCCCAGTTATCTGTATCTCCTGTTGAACACAGTGTTTCAGCAAACAAGATCATTAAGCAGAAGAAACTTAAAGTCAAGAGAAGTGTTCTCACTGCATCTGGGTTTATACCATATGGCTTGGCCTCTTTGTGCAGAACCGCAAATCATCAGCCAAGAGTGTAGCAAGAAGTACAAACTCTGTAGCTCCAGAATGACCTCAAGTATCTGCATAAAAAGTACACTTGTGTATTGAAGGACATAGCCTGTAAAATTAACCCACAACCTTTAGAGGGAGGAACAAATGGCTAGACCACTTCGCCATGGAAACGTCCCCCGCAAATCACAAAGCAAGTTATGTTTCACTGTGACATCAAGCCTGGTTCTAGTGCACCTGATTTTGACCTGTCTTTACCAGCCTTTAACTGTCCTATTCTAAATGAAGGAACCAAGCTGGCAGAGTATTTAATGTTCTCACCCTCCAAGACAGTGGTCTGGATTCAAACCCCAGCTATGGCTGACTTTATCTTATAAAAGTGGGTCCCTGAGTTTTCTAGGAAGGAAAAGGGATGAGTAAGGACACTGGGCCCCACATCTTGGATGCTTTGGCCTAGAATAGGTGACAGTCACACATTTTACATCTGAACAGCAGCAATTGCTTCAGGACTATCTTAACCTTTTATTTTATGTGACACACAAAACAACTGATTATCCATTTTAGAGACAATCTATATTCTTTTGTCAGGTCATGAAAAGCAGAAAACTGGAGTACATCATGATGGTGGGAAACCTGAAGGGGGAAAAGGGCAGAGGGCAGAGAAAATGCTGGATAGTTTGACATCATTGCATGGAAGATCATCCGTGTCAGAACTGATTAAAAGTACACGAAACAGAAGGCTGACAACAAACATGACTACCAAAACCATATGTCATGGACTATAAGAAAAAGACATGCAAGTTAAGAGTGCAAGCTTTTATGTTCTATTGGACTGATCTCTAGTTGCAGTAAGTTTACACACACACACAAAGTTGTTTTACTTAGTTTGATCTCTGCTAGCAAGAAACAAGTTTATCTGTCTCTCTGTTTTGTAAAAGTCAAATTCTTGAGTCTCTCTTTATCTAATCTCTGCTAGCAAGAATCAAGTTTATCTGTCTCTCTGATCTGTAAGAGTCAAGTTCTTGTGTCTATCTTAATCTGCTCTATGCTTACAAGAATCAAGTTTATCTGTCTCTCCATTTTATGAGAAGCATGTACTCGAGTCTCTCTTAATCTGACTTCTGTTTTTCAAGAGCTAAGTTGCAGTGTGTCTTTAAGTCTGATCTCTGCAAGATTCAAGTTCTGGTGTAGAATCTTCGTCTGATCTCTACTTCTGATGTAAGCTTTAAATAAAGCGGCTGTTTGTGACCAACTTCTTATAAGGCTAATTTTTCTGCTTCTTGTAGTTTCCTATCATTATTTCTAAAATTATAAGGCTCATTTTTCTGCTCTTTGTAGTTTCCTATCATTATTTCTAAAATTGTAAACATGGTTTTGTTGAAACTAGCTTTCCAGCAACAATGGGCCAGGTTTAATCCTCAGTTGATAGGGAGTTAATTTTCATGGTGGAATACAATCAATCCTGTCTGGCAGTCAGTCAGGGAGAAAAAAAACTTCAGAAAGAGTTTTCCTAACATCATAAAGCCATACCTGCATAGTATATATAAAACACTCATACTTCCCCATACCCTCAAACAAACAATTCTTTTGTCAATATCTGCTCTGTGCTACTAGACATCAAAGTTTAATATATAATTGATAACTGAGCCAGGGTGCACTCAGCTGTTTGGTATGCTGTGATGTTGTGAAGTCTTAGACTGCCAGTGACTCTTCCAATCCATTTTCTTCTAGGTCTCCCTCTGCCTCTTGTGGTTTCTTTTTTCATGCTGTACACTCTTGCTATCAGCATCGTGGGATTCATTTAAAGCTTTATTTCTGAATTCTCAGTAAAATAATTTTACGGTTCTAATCTTATTGCCCGCAGGATCTCGCCTGGTTTTATTCACAGCCTTTCTCGAATATTTAATTTTATACGTCGTTCGGGCTTTCCTTCGAATAACGGGCACTTAAGGTGGCGGCTGTAAAATATATCTGTTCGAGCCGCAGTCATGTGTCAGTTGCACACTTCTGGGTACTTAATTTGCGGTTTTCAGGCGACTATTGCCACCGCCACGTGGCCCCCAAGCCGCTCATGCAGCGTGGATTGGGGCTAAACTAGATGGCTAGGACTCATGAGCAAAGCTGCAGGAGATGTGGAAGCTGCCGCTCATCTTCTTCTTCTTCGCGTTCACCAGCTGTAAACTCTGGCGGAAGCTTCTGGTTGCTTGTTCACTATTGAATTGCAGTCCTGCTCCAGAACCTGAGTGTTGCATGTGCATCAGTTTTACAGATCTCATTCTCTTGAATACAGACTGTTGGTTCCTTGCCTCTCCGGCAGATGCACTCCCACTTCAAAGGAAGCTCTCCAATTAGTTGACTATTACGACATGCTTTTGGGGAGGCAGTGGGTCTATTCTTGTTTTCCCCATAATGGGGCCCCGGAACCCACATGGGGGGCTGCTGCTCATGAGTCTTAGCCATCTAGTTTGGCCCCAATCCACGCCTCGTGTTGGCGGAAAACCGCAAATTAAGCAACCGGAAGTGCGCAATTGACACGTGACTGCGGCTCGAACGGATATTTTGCGGCCGCCATCTTTAGTGCCCGTTATACGAAGGATAGCTGTGGTTCATTTTCATGCGAATTATTTCAAGAGTTCAGTTTTTATTTTATTATATTACTAATATTATATCTCTTCCGCTGCAACAACAGAAGATCAGCTCAGCTGTGAATTTTAAAGTGGACACCTACAAAGTAATCACGTAATAGTACTTATACTACTACTAGTAGTACTAGCGACTACGGTGTCCGGGAATTTGCGATCTTTTGGCAATTTCCGTTACCACAGAAACCGTTCGAAACTTGCTTCTGAAATGTCGGCTGGGGTTTCGGGATGGGTCCTAATCTCTCATGAAATTTTGTGATTGGTGTGATTTTCACCCACTCTAAATAGCTGAAAATAGCAGGAAGGAACCCGATTAACAGCGCATGTCTACGACAGCCGGACGTCCTCTGTTTTTCTGTTACATCAGTTTGATCGAAAATAGCACTAAGTATTCAAGGTTGGCTTTAGGCTTTAACTATTACTGGCCCTAGTTAAAATTGTTTTCTCCGTCCATTTTAACATTTGTGTATAAAATTTGGCTCTACTGGCAAATCCGGACGAAGACTGAAAAGCCTTGGACGACTTAGTCAGAGTTCTCTCTCTTGGCCGCACTTCAAACAGTGATCGGAAAAGCCACAACGAAACAAACGACACACTTACCTATCACCATACGGTTGCGTGTAGGGCTGCGTACGGCATCGTGACGGGATGCGTGGTCATCATATGGTTGCGTGCAGGGTTGCGTACGGTTGCGTGAGGCATCGTGAATGGTTGTGTAGTCATCATGCGGTTGTTGGGTTAGAGTTAGGGGTAGGGTTAGGGTTAGGGGTAGGGTTAGGGTTAGGGGTAGGGTTAGGGGTAGGGTTAGGGGTAGGGTTAGGGGTAGGGTTAGGGGTAGGGTTAGGGGTAGGGTTAGGGGTAGGGTTAGGGGTAGGGTTAGGGGTAGGGTTAGGGTTAGATGTGAAAATTGTGACGTAGGATTTCTAAATACTGGCCGACAATCAGATGTTTGTGGGAGTGGCGCCACTGAAACTCTGCCAAATATGACGCCAATAGCGTGCGGCTGGTGCCCCCAATCGTTGGCGAATTGTGCGTTTGACCAGCATCCAGAGGCCCTCGATTGTTTGTGTGTGTGTATGGGACTGTGCGCGATTATAGGGAAATCCGGCGTCAAAATTGTCAAATCTAACGCTAACCCTAATCCTAATCCTACTCCCTAACCCTAACCCCTACCCCTAACCACGCAAATTTATCGATCATTAAAGCATACAAATCGGCAAAAACCAACAAACAAAACACACCAAAAAAAAAAAAAAACCAGAATTGTCCTGCAGCGTCGAAAAAAAAACCAGATCTGGGGGAAACAACCAAGCATTGGCAGCCCTGATGTCGACGTGACTGTCTTCTTTGTTTCGTTGGCTTTTCCGATCACTGTTGGGAGTGCGGCCAAGGGAGAGAACTCTGACTAAGTCGTCCAAGGCTTTTTATTCTTCGTCCGGATTTGCCAGTAGAGCCTAAAATTTCTTTCTGAACCGTGGCTAGGTAGATGTACAGTGACATTTTTGAGGCAATCGCTGGCTCAGCCAGTGGCTGTGTCTCATTGGCTGCCATCTTGTCCAATGACAGTCCAAACAAAGCCAAAACGAAAGTTGCGCAGTTTGGTTGCGCAGAGAAAACCTCTTGTTTCTGGGAGGCAAGTTTTAGCAGCTGCTTTCTACATCTCATCTCCAAAAACCTACATATCTCAGCTCAGAAATGACACACAAGCCTAAATGAGGTACCATTGGAAAGAGATTGTTTACAGCTATCTAATGGTGCTGGTTTTATTGGTGTGGAGGGCATTTTGAAAATTTGACTAAAGTACCTAGTAGTACTACTAGTAGTACTAGGTAGACAAATATGGCTAAACAATGAAAACGGTAAAGGACAGGCAAGGATGCAGGGAAGGAAAGATGCAAGAATATAATAGGAGATCTCCTGCCCAACCTAAACATACCGTCAGTTTCTGTTTCTGGTCTGTGGTAGGTTGTCGAAGAAGTGCCATCATTTCTGCTTGGAGTCCCTTCTTTCGAAGTAGGAAAAAAATATCGTTTAATAGCTCCTATGTCATGAAATTTCGATAGTGCAGAAAGCTGACAAGACATTTCAATAACAATAAAAATGAACTGTGGGTTAACTCAAATCAGTTTAGTTCAACTTTACTCATATATCTGCATTGTTGACAGACGACTGAGTGCTCATCATAACATTAACAACAAATATCGGCCATTTCCGACAACACAGAACGTATGTGCTCGTATTAGAAGTAAATCGACAAAATAATTCTGCATAATGGTTAGTTTTATATTTATTTACAGATTGTCTTTTTCGTAACTGGGTTACCTACAAACTCAGTTCAGCAGTTAAGCTGAGTTGAACTGAGCTCAACTGAGTTCAGGTGAGCTGAGTTTAAAAGAAAATGTCACTTAGCACATCTCCATAAGTGCCACGTCCCCATCTTCGGCAGCAAGCGTAGAGTCCTGCTCACTCAGCAAGGAGTCTTACTCAATACTAAAACTAAAAAAGAATTAAAAGTAATTATTTTGTAAACATGCATCCTTCCCCTGGGACCATTCATTCATTCATTCAAGTGTGACGTGTGGACCACTGAGTGAACCCCTCCATGACTACATACTTAGCGTTCAACACCACGTAACTCACATATATCAATCAAACAGGCATCTGAGTTTAAATATCTTGGAACAACACTCACTGAAGATGGTAAACTGGACAAAGAAATTTACATCCGATGCAGCAAAGCAAGCCAAGGACTGGGACAGATAGCACCTACAGCATAAGGCAATCCCAATCAGCACAAAGAAGCATCTCATACCAAGCATATTCTTCACCACCCTATGCTATCAGTGCCAAAGGTGGTCACTCACAACAAAACAAAAACGAAAATTAGTAACCATGGAAATAGGTTGTCTGAGAAAGACTGTAGGAGTGACCAGAAGAGATAAAATCAGGAATGAGGTCATACGATATAAAGTCGGCACAGAACGAATTCTTAATTACCTACAAAGACAGCAAATCAAATAGTTTGCCCACTTGGAGAGAATGCCTCATGATGATATACAATACAAGAACAACTAGGACTTCCCCCCCCCCCCCCCCTTTTTCCTCCCAGAGTTCACAGTCAACGAATACCGATAAAGCAGAAGATAATCAATAAATTTCAGAACATTATACTAAAAAAATAAACATCCTCCCCGGCGGGGAATCGAACCCCGGTCTCCCGCGTGACAGGCGGGGATACTTACCACTATACTACCGAGGATGATGAATGGTACAGCATTACACTACATCATCTTTAATTTCAAAACATAGACTGCAAGACCACATTAACAGGTTAAACTCAGCATGTAGTAAATACAACATGAAGAACAATGTAAACAAAACCGAAACAATGCAAGTTAGTATACATTCTGCCGCACTACACATACAGCTGAATGGTTCTGCCCTGAATCAAGTTAGGGAGTTTAAATATCTAGGAAGTATGATCACAGAACAGAAGATTGTAGAATTGACAGAGAAATAGAAACCAGATGTCAGAAAGCAAGTGCACTTATATCCCAATTGTCATCATTATTAAGACATCCAAGCATAACTATGAGTGCAAAGAGACAGATTATTAATAGCATATTTATTCCAACATTAAGCTACCAGTGCCAAACATGGACACTATCTAAAGCCCATATACGCAAAATTACCACCTGCGAGATGAGGTGCCTGAGAAAAGCAGCCAACCTAACCATACAAGATCGAGTGAATAATGAAACTATCAGGCAAATTGTGGGAACGACACCTTGTACTAGATTCATCGAGAAACAGCAGATCAAGTGGTTTGGCCATCTCATTAGAATGCAGCAAGATCAAAAATCATCACAAGCACAACATCTCAGAAGATCAACTACAAGAACAAGAGGACGGCCGCGGAAAACATGAATCGACAACATTAAAGACACTCTACGCTTTCACGGCATGACAAAAGCCAGTGGCAGCCAACGTGCACTGGATCGCAAATTATTCCTCCCTACGGCGCTTAACGGCAGAAATGGTTTATGATGATGATGATCTATAATTCCCGTGTGGTTTTCGTCGAGACTCCAAATTGGGGGAAAAGCAATACATGCAATTAGTTACATGAAATTAGTCGACAGATCATCCTCGAAGCATAGTCCATAAGTGCTCTGGTTGCTGTCTTTGGAAATATTACGCGATGAGTAGGGTGGCTATGATATCCTGAGCTGAAAACGCGATATCCCACAAATATGTTGAACTGAAAACGCGACATCCCACAAAAATGTTGAACTGAAAACGCGATATCCCACAAAAATGTTGAACTTAAAACGTGACATCCCACAAAAATGTTGAACTGAAAACGCGACATCCCACAAATATGTTGAACTGAAAACGTGACATCCCACAAAAATGTTGAACTGAAAACGCGACATCCCACTAATATGTTGAACTGAAAACGTGACATCCCACAAAAATGTTGAACTGAAAACGCGATATCCCACAAATATGTTGAACTGAAAACGCGACATCCCACAATTATGTTGAACTGAAAACGTGACATCCCACAAAAATGTTGAACTGAAAACGCGATATCCCACAAATATGTTGAACTGAAAACGTGACATCCCACAATTATGTTGAACTGAAAACGCTGACATCCCACTAATATGTTGAACTGAAAACGTGATATCCCACAAATATGTTGAACTGAAAACGTGATATCCCACAAATATGTTGAACTGAAAACGTGATATCCCACAAATATGTTCAACTGAAAACGCGATATCCCACAAATATGTTGAACTGAAAACGCCACATCCCACAAATATGTTGAACTGAAAACGTGACATCCCACAAATATGTTGAACTGAAAACGCTGACATCCCACAAATATGTTGAATTGAAAACGTGATATCCCACAAATATGTTAAACTGAAAACGCCACATCCCACTAATATGTTGAACTGAAAACGTGATATCCCACAAAAATGTTGAACTGAAAACGCCACATCCCACAAATATTTTGAACTGAAAACGCCACATCCCACAAATATGTTGAACTGAAAACGCTGACATCCCACAAATATGTTGAACTGAAAACGCGACATCCTACAAATATGTTGAACTGAAAACGCTGACATCCCACTAATATGTTGAACTGAAAACGTGATATCCCACAAATATGCTGAACTGAAAACGCGACATCCCACAAATATGTTGAACTGAAAACGCGACATCCTACAAATATGTTGAACTGAAAACGCGACATCCTACAAATATGTTGAACTGAAAACGCCACATCCCACAAATATGTTGAACTGAAAACGCGATATCCCACAAATATTTTGAACTGAAAACGCCACATCCCACAAATATTTTGAACTGAAAACGCCACATCCCACAAATATTTTGAACTGAAAACGCCACATCCCACAAATATGTTGAACTGAAAACGCCACATCCTACAAATATGTTGAACTGAAAACGCCACATCCCACAAATATTTTGAACTGAAAACGCCATATCCCACAAATATTTTTGAACTGAAAACGCGAAACATCCCACAAATATATTGAACTGAAAACGCGATATCCCACAAAATATGTTGAACTGAAAACTTTAAAACGCAAGCAAATAAGTCAGTTTTAACCTCACAACCATCCCCCCCCCCCCCCCCCCCCCCCCCCCCATTATTTTACATAGGTCACTGAGGTAAGTAAAGACACTACTAGACCTACATTTTTTAGACCAACGGTACAAGATGGGTGATGTGGTCAGCATCACGCCGGCCGTTTTACTTCCCAGGGCTGCACCTGGTACCCACTCAAATCTGGATCGACCTAGGAGCCAATGTCATTTTTTTAAAAGTCCGGCTCCGCCAAAGAGCGAATCCACGACCTTCTGATCCTCAGGCGAGCGTCTAGTCGCTACGCCATGGTGACTCCCAGATCACTGTGGTATAAGGGTTAATTACTCCTTCGACAATGTTTTTAAAACCGAACCATAGTCGCCAAGAAATAAACGAAACAATAAGCTTTTTAACTGCCCTGAACAATTGCTGCATTGAAAATTCTTATAAACACATTTCAGGCGTTTGAAATATCTAAAACTATAAATCTAATAACATAAATATTATAAATATCGGCTCTTCTTCGAACTTCTACCCCATATTCTTCTTCTTCTTCTGCCTTTCTATCCCCCAATGGAGCATAGGCCCTCAACCAACTCACGCCAAGTCGTTCTATCCTTTGCCATTGCATGGAGCTCTTCCCATGTCCTTCCCATCTTTCTAACTTCATTCTCCAGCTCTCTTCCATGTCACTTTTTGGCCTTCCTTTGTTCCATATTCCTATGCCCCTGTAAGGGTTCCAATGCAAAGACATTTCTAGCGTTATGTTCGTTATTCGGAGCTGCGATTTGTTATCCGTGGCATTTGAATGACTGAGGCCCCTACCAGGGTATTTTCCCGCTCAGTGTGAAGTCCTATCCAAAGCCAGCCGTGGTTGCTGTCTTTGGAAATATTACGCGATGAGTAGGGTGGCTATGATATCCTGAGCTGAAAACGCGATATCCCACAAATATGTTGAACTGAAAACGCGACATCCCACAATTATGTTGAACTGAAAACGCGACATCCCACAAAAATGTTGAACTGAAAACGCGATATCCCACAAAAATGATGAACCACAACAAAAATGTTGAACTTAAAACGTGATGTTGAACTGAAAACGTGACATCCCAAAAATGTTGAACTGACGCGAATCCCACTAATATGTTGAACTGAAACATCCCACAAAAATGTTGAACTTAAAACGTGACATCCCACAAATATGTTGAACTGAAAACGCTGACATGCCACTAATATGTTGAACTGAAAACGCGATATCCCACAAATATGTTGAACTGAAAACGTGACATCCCACAATTATGTTGAACTGAAAACGCTGACATCCCACTAATATGTTGAACTGAAAACGTGACATCCTACAAATATTTTGAACTGAAAACGCCACATCCCACAAATATGTTGAACTGAAAACGTGACATCCCACAAATATGTTGAACTGAAAACGCTGACATC